TGTGCCTGGCTTGAGTTAAAGCCACTGGGTCCGGAACTCGAACCGCAGTTGACTTCATGGGAGTCTAGCCACATAGCCATTACGCTAACTGCTGGTCCCATCTTTTTTCACTTATAAAAGATGGATTTGTTTGGACCAGCAGTTAGCGTAATGGCTACGTTGCTGTACTCCCATGTAGTCGACCACGGTTCAGGTCCTGGACCCAGTGACTTAAACTCACACTGGGCGTGTGTGTGCGTGCCCAAGATCCTGAGAGGAGAATGGAGGAGAAGGGGTTGTGGCGTGGCCATCCGCCCTGGGGGGTGATTTCTCGCTTTCTGTCTCTCTGTCTTTCTCTGTCTGGCGGGCGCACACGCCCTATAGCAAAAACCTCTCCAAAAAAAAAGATGGATTTGTTGCTCTATGTGAGGAAATACAGAGAAAGATTTTAGAATTTTTAAAATGACTAACATTTGTGGAATTGCTAATTAAGTACAACATCAAATGGTTTAAGATTCTTCATTATTTGGAGTGTGATGGGTAGGTGCATACTTGTATTCCCAGATACTTAGGAGGCTGAGGCAGGAGAATCTCAAGTTTGATGCTGGCCTGGATAACTCTCTAAAAAACAATTTCCAGCGGCTGTAGGTCCATAGCACAGTGGTTAATGGAGCTGGATTCCATATGGCTGACCCACCATTTGAATCTCATCCTTTGATGAACATGCTAGGTATACACTTGTGCCCCAAATCCTTGCAAATGTGATTGTCCCTATTGAGAGCTGCTTTCTCCTCCTTTTTCTTTTCCTCCTCCTCTTCTCTCTGTCTGTCTCACTGTCTCTCTCTCTCTCTGGTGAGCACATGGACCTTCAGGCAATAAAAACACATTTTTTTCTAAAGATTCTTGATTATTTGAATGGTTTAGGTTGCATGAGATTTGGAGTTAGATAATTAGATTTTAATTCCTAATTGTACCATTTACTAGTTCTGGCCTTATGGTTCACTTCCTTGACCACCTGTTTTGTAAACCAGAATCAATTACTGTTCTTGTGCAAGTCATGAGATAATTGAAATATAAACAACTACCCTTCAAAATCTATTTTTTTTACTGCCAGAGGGTGTGTATGCTTTCCAGAGAGAGCACATGCTTGTGTGTGTGTGTGTGTGTGTGTGTGTGTGTGCGCGTGCGCGCGCGCTCAGTGGGATATGGTGGGGCATGGTCATGCCACAATCCTTTTTCCTACGTTTCTATATCATGTCAGGGTTTTGGGCACATGCATATAGTGCCCAGCTTATTTTTCCTGATTCGAACTGTAGTTGGCTGTGTGGGATCTGACTCCTATGTGTAGGGCTTAACTGCAGTGCGAAGAGGCTGGCCCTCTTGGTGATTTAAGTGCTGGCGAATTACATTTAGTAGGGTTTGACTACAAATTTTGACATCTTGGGTGGGCTCTGTAGTATAGTGGTTAAGCATTGTGTGGAGGGGGTCAGCTCCCATATGACTGACTGGTTTGAGTTTGGACACTGGTGACTTAAAACAGTGTGTTGGGCACATGCATGCATGTACCCATGATCCTATTGGGATGAAGGAATAATGAGTATAGCATGACCAGGCCTAATTGAGGGGTGGTTCTTTTTTTTTTAAGAGAGGTTTTTGCTATAAGGCGTGTATACTTGTTAGAAAGACAGAGAGAGACAGACAGAAAGCGAGAAATCGTCCTCCCAAAGAGGGGGTAGCCATGCTGCAATCCCTTCTCTTACATTCTCCTGTTGGGATCTTGGGCATGCACACACATCTGCCCAGTGTGACTTTAAGCTGCTTGGTCCGGGACTCGAACTGAGGTCGACTACCTGGGAGTCCAGCAACATAATCATTGCGTCATCTGCTGGTACCAGTTGGGAGTGCTTTCTCTCTCGTAACTGCATGTGGCCTCTGGCATTAAAAAAAAGAAAGTAATAATTGAAATGAATTTTTCATGAATTATAGTAAGAAAAAACTTTAAAAAATTAAAGTTTTGGGGCCTCCAGGCACTAGACCTCCCACATGACTAACTGATTTGAGTCCTGGACATGGTGGCCTAAAAATCATGCCAGGTTTCTGCACGTGCACCTATCCCCTCTGGGGAGTGATTTTTTTTACTTTCCCACTCTGTCTTGCATGTGCCCTATAGGGGAAAAAAAATCCAAAAGCTTAAAAAGAGCGAAGATTTGAGGATTGGAGCTTTTATAAAGAAAGGAGTTTTGCCTGTGTTTAATGATATACTGATGGCAAGACTTTGGATTCAGTCAGCTCTTTTCTTATTTCAGTCAGATTCAGGACTGATTAGGATTGGAGCTTTTATAAAGAAAGGAGTTTTGCCTGTGTTTAATGATATACTGATGGCAAGACTTTGGATTCAGTCAGCTCTTTTCTTATTTCAGTCAGATTCAGGACTGATTATGTCTTGCAAATAAAGTTGTAGGCCTGCCTATTTTCTTTTTCAGTTTTGCTATACGTCCATTCTCTTCCTGGGATTGGGGATGCTCATGAAAATGCTGGCTCCCCCCCTCCCCCCACAGGGCAGTGTACTCGCCAGACAAAGAGAGACAGAAAGCGAAAGCGAGAAATCACCACCCCTCCGGGGTAGGATGGCCACACCGGAGTCCCTTTACCTCATTCTCCTCTCTAGATTTTGGGCACACACGCACGTGCCCAGCACGAGTTTTAAGCCGCTGGGTCTGGAATATGAACTACGGTCCAATGTGTGGGAGTCAGAGACGTAACCATTATACCATTTGCTGGTCCCCTGACATGTTTTTCAATCTGCTAGGTCTGGGACTGAACTGCACAGTTGGCCATGTGGGATCCACCTGCCTCCATCACCATGCCACTGGCTAGGGCCCACCACGACCACCCCCAATTTCTTTAAAGTAACTTTTTTTCTTTATTCATAGAGCGCATGTTCAGAGACCTGAGAATAAGAGAACATCTTCGTAGGGTTTAGTCACACATTACCACTCCAGTCTTCTAGGCTTTCAGATCAGGAATTCTAGTGCCTGCCTGGTATGTGTCAGGCTGAGTGGACCAGGGAATGGAACTGTGGTTGTAATGGAATCTGACTTGTTTTGAGTAGTGCATGACTGCTGTGCCATGGTAGCAGGCCCAAGCAGCAAAAATTTCCTAGGTCTCAATTATGTCAAAATATATAAAGGAATAAGAAAGAATTTTTAAAAGAAAATGACAAAACCAAGCAAATGTTTATTAGTCCAATTGTTTTTCTTTTTATTTTGCAGCAACGCACCTCTTGCTTTTTCCTCCAAAGTATGTTATGTTAAGTTTCGTGACCCATCAAGTGTTGGTGTGGCCCAGCATCTAACTAACACGGTTTTTATTGACAGAGCTCTGATAGTTGTTCCCTGTGCAGAAGGTTAGTATCTTACATGTTTTTTTCTATTGTTTTAATCTGTTCTGCTACTGCCTATGGCTTTTCCAGAATTTGGCAAGTAGACAGTACTGTTGTGTGTGCCCTGTGTGTGTGTGTGTGTGTGTGTGTGTGTGTGAGAGAGAGAGAGAGAGCAAAAATGACATTTGAGGAAGGAAATAATTTTTGCCTAATAGTAAATTGATAGTAAATTGTATTTATTATTTATTCTTTATAGCTTATATTTTTAAAATTCATAAATTATTTGGCTTCTCTGGTTTGCTTTGGTTTTCTGTAGTCAATTTTCAGGTTTTAAAGAATGCTTTCTGAAATGAAAAAAAAATAGTAAGTTGGTATGGGAAATTATTTTAAATACTTAAGTAAACATTTATCCTGTGTGTACAGTAATAATAATATTATAGATAAAAGTACACATTTTGTCAAATTGAGGCTATTTTTACTTATAAAAAATTTTTTACCTTATATTTTCAAGTATTCTCTTAAGGTAATTTACCTTGTTACTGAGAGACCATTATTTCATAATCAGTGTAATTGTTTGCTGTGCAACTGGGATTTGCTTCTTTATTTTATTGGCTCCATTTACTTACTATTTTGGGTAATTGAAAAAAAAAAGGAAAGCAGTTTCCAAAGTCTCCATGAGAATTATTGATTAAAGATAAGAACAGAGCCAAAGTCCTTGTAGTTATTTGTTAGATTTTATGACTTAGACTCCTTTTAAGAGCTAAGTATTGCTAACATTTTTTTTAGTAACTTCTATTTCCAGAGCCACTGACATACAGTAGGCTGTGCTGAACAGACTGTCACATGTACATGGATTTTAGGATTGGTTTATAGTAAATTTAAATGTCTTTAAAATAGATTTTTTCTGGTGGATTATGGTAACCATTGCAACATAAAAGTTTACTGGAAACAATTTAATGGGCTTTCATATGTAATTTTTAAAACCCCTTTTAGTAGTCAGGTTAACATTAAAATAACTTAAAGTATAAAGCAGTTTGTTGTACTTACAGGGTTTATGTTTATTTCAGACTGCCTATTTTGGGAGGTAAAAAATAATTCAAATACAGTGACTTACAAGGCTAGTATTTTTGAAGTCCCTGAACAGGACATACTAGGTATTTTTCAGATAAATTTGAAAGTATCTTTCCCATGCTCGGGGATTAGACTGGGTAGGGAAACAAAACTGGGTTTGAGTTAATTATTTGCTAAATATTATATCCTTATCTGCTCATCTGTAAGGGTACAGTGAGCCCAAAATTGGAGCTAGATAATGCTTTAGCTGTGTCACTTTGTACTGAATTACATACCAAGAAAACTGCATGGGAAAAGAAAAAAAAAGGAGAATGTTTAATACTGGAATATTAGTTATGTTAGAAAATTATTACTACCAGCAGCATAGGATCTTTTATTATGCTAGCTCCTTGCTGAATTGGAAGGAAGAATTTCATCAGGGTTGCTTTGTTGGAATCCTGCTATATTCCATAGAATTTTTATGCATCTTGAAAAGCCCTGATTGATTTGTCATAAATAATTCATTTTGTGGGCATGAAGAATTCCCTTTTATTGTTTATTTTACTTGAATAGAGATGAATAAATGCATGTGAAGTTACAGCTTTTTAATATTTTAATATTATCATCTCGAGACAGTTTTACTACTTTTGAGCATAAAAATTTAAGCATACTTTTGTTGTAATTTGGTTGTAAGTAAATATTTTAGAATACTAATTTATAAAATTACGGGTATTAGAAAAAATTCAGATATACATTTTTCATTAGTTTACTCAAGTACAACAGATACTAGTTTTTATGGAACCTGAAGAATTTCAAAGTGAGCTTTAAAAATCTGATTATGCACTGCAAGCAAAGAAATTACGCATTATGTACTAAAAAAGATAGCCATAAGTTTGAAATGAACCAAAGGAAAGCGTTACAGTGGAATACAGTTCTGTAGGAGATGTGCACTGTGGTGCTGTAAGCAGTCTTCTGTTTATTTCACTGACTGCATTTATTCTTTGATGTTGTAGAAACAGCATCATGACATAATGAGAAAATCCATAGACTTCTAAGAATAAATTTTTCAGTTTCTTTAAATTTTCTGTTTTTAGTGAAGATTAAGATGATCCAAAGCTGTAAAAGTAATGTTTGATGTGTAACCATTTCGTACATATTAAGCATTAACTATTGTTAATAATACATGCTATTTCAAAATAAAATGTACTTGAATTATACTTGTCCAAGTATGACCTCTTTTTGTTGTTGCGTGCATTTCAGATTTCTTTTTATAAATGTTAACACTTAGAAAAGATAACAAGGGTGTGAGCCTAATCATCAGTCATAACTTTATGTCCACATTTTCTGGTAGATGGATTTTGACTATTAATTTGGTTTTGTATGTTTTCTCTATGTGATATTTGTGCATTATTAGATGACTAGACTGGCCAAGGCAGACCTGTTACACTTGCCTGAGTTAGGCATTGTTTGCCATGCCACTAAACCTGCCGTCAAGTGAAACCTTCATTGGGGAAATGAGATCGGAGTCTGAACCGCAGAAGATGGACGCCCTGTCTCTGTTTTTTTATTGTTTTACTTTAATTTTATTTCTTTTTCTTTATTTTGTCCCCTTTTTTGTTTTTGTTTTTGTTTTGTTTTGTTAAATCTCTTTCACTTTAACTTGTGAGCTGGTTTTCCAGTTCTTTGTAAATGGTATTCCATTAAGGGTTCATAACTTGTTACAAATTATATTGGGAGATGGTTAGCAGAGCTTAGCCTTAAGATAAACTACATTTTTATGCAGTAAATCAGGATAGTGTTGTGAAGCTCAGTGTGAGTTTTAATGGGTATTTATAGACCAATCAGGTACATTTTATTCTTGAAACATTAAAACACTGATGCAGGTACATTTTATTCTTGAAACATTAAAACAGTGATGAGAATCTTAGGAACACTTTCTGATCTCAGTGCAGTACTTTTGTAGTTCTTTTTTTTTCCCAAGTCTGCATCTCATAAAAACTAATTGATAGCTTCTAATTTTCATCCTTCCCCCTAGAATTTTAGGCAAGCTATTAATAAATACATTTCTTTAAACAGTCTAGAAGTAGCAGAGAAGAGCCTTTTAGTTTTATGATTATTTTTATTATAGAAAAAGATATAACTTTCTTGACTTACGAAGACTTTTTGTTGCCTATGTGGGGAATGGATAATTGAGAAACTGTCGATCATTTGCATGCATATTTTTCTGTTTGCTTGAATTTTTTGTTGAAAATTCTATACAGGTTATTAGTTTCTAAATGGGTTCTGAGGTTAGGACTAGTATTTTGATACCGAGGGAGATGTTCTTTTTCTCTCAGTTGTCTTTGAGGAGTATAGATTTGAGAAAATGCTAAATGTTTATTAATTTATTTTATAATTATGTACTCCTATGGTATTGTATAGTTTTATTTGGAAACCAAGTATTGGACCTTTCTTTCTTAAAGTATTTTTCAATGGTAATTAGAGTAAGACAAAAATATTATTATGCTGATATTTATAGATTTCTAGTACTTTATTACTGTCGTGAAAGGCAGTGAGAGTTTGACAATCTATTGATATTTTATTTAAACCATAAATGAAAGACTTCATAATAATAAGCAAGTTGATTGTGTTGAATACCCTTTTGGTGTGTGTAGTCTTTCTACATTGTCAGTGTGGTTAGTTTTTGCTTATTAGATGACAGGTAATACTAAATTGGAACATTATGAGATTGGAAAGCCCCCCCCCCCCCTTTTTTTTTTAGGTACTTAAATGAGGGTAGTAAAGCATAGGGTTCACACTTGAGGACTTCAGTTGATTTATCAAGAGTGTTCAAGTTTTACAAACCTTATTTAAAGTAGTACCTATTTATAACAAACAGGTGTGATATCAGTATAAACAGTGTAGTAGATATATGGGTATATATTACATGTGTTAATATATGTATAAAATAGGTTATTTTTATTTGGTATCTTCAATAAGGCCTACCTTCCTTTTGTTTATTTTTATGCATGTCAACAAATCTGTTTTGTCCAGAATTTACATAGAAATAATAAAGTAACATTATTTTCCAAATTAGAAAATTAAAGTAGTATAAACGTAGTTGTAGGTATTTACTAAAGCTAATATAATTTTTTTTGTTTCTATAAATAACGGATAACCATTACTTAAAGCAAGTTTTAAATTCCATCTTGAATTCCGTCCATATTTAGAGAAATATTCAGATAATATTATTTAGAGATTTATCTCTTCACATCTATTTAAGTAGGATTTTTTTAAACTGAAACCAGGCATGGCACTTTTTGAAAATTTACTACATGTGCTGTATTTCAGTGTAGCGTGATTTTTGAATAGTGTGTTTTGAAATACTGTTGAAAAATTCATAATGGAAATGTGTAGCTACCTGAAATCGTTCTTTTAAATATATCTACAATGTAGTCAGCTTTTTAAGAAATTATTATTTTTTGGATAAAGGATAAGGACAAATGCGTGAGAGCTATCTTTATCAAAATTAATTGATTAGAATGCAGTTAAATATGGAAATCAACATACTTATTTCAGAATACATTTTTAACTTTTTTAGATTACAGTGATTTTTTTCATTCTAAATGTCTTAAAATTATTTTAACGTTAATGTTCTTATTGTTAGTAGGCAATTATAGTGTTTATAAGTAAGATATTTAGGCATTACCCACCCCTCTTTAGATAAATACATAAATTGGTTCTAAAAGTTAGTATTTTAGGAAATTTTCTGAAACTAGGGAACTTTATTTTGGGTAGTCTCACATTAGTAATTTCTTAAGGCATTATTTCTTGGAATCCAATTTTTCAGCCATCTCTAATGTTGGTGAGGTGCCTTATTAACTGAATCAGCGTAGGATTTTAAATTGAAGCTGATTGAACAGAGTCGGTTTTTGTTTTCTTGTACGTGAAATTTAATATAATGTATTTGAGGGTTATCAAAACTGTTTGCATCACAAGTAGGTAGTTTTAGTAACAGCATAGGGGCACTCATTAAGGAACAAATTTCAAAATTTCAATTCGCACATATTTGTTTTTTTTCTTCTTTTTTTTGACTAATTTGGTTATTTGCCATTTCTGGGGATTAAACTTTAAAAAATGTTCTTCTTTTCTGTATCTGATGTTCTGTGTGCTATTAGTGATGCAGCCAACACGAACGGTTGTCATGTGTAACACAACTTTCGATCACCGCGAAAACACCGTCCTGGGAAAGCGTCCATGCTTGATATCGTTTGGTTCATGAACATTAAGTTTCCAGTACAGGTGACCCATAGCTCAAAGTGTTAAATAATTGTCTACATTATTCAGTTTTTAAAATAATATTCCATTAATGAGATTGTTAGTCTTTGAAGTTTTTGCTCACTTTTATTTTTCCTAGTAAAGCAGGATAAAAGGAAAAACTTAAGTTCTTGTTTATTTCTTTATACGGATCTGATAGATAGATTCATTTATTATTATTATTTTTAAAGTGCAAGGGTAATTGTAAAATCATAGTGTAAAGTTTGTGTGGTGTTTATGCATTTCTGTAATGTTTGAAACTTGCCTCTGCAGGTAAAATCCCAGAGGAATCCAAAGCCCTCTCTTTATTGCCTCCTGCTCCAACTATGACAAGTCTGATGCCTGGTGCAGGATTGTTGCCCATACCTACCCCAAATCCCTTGACTACAGTAAGTATATTAACCTTCTTATGAAAAGGGTGAGCATTGGGGACCAGCAGTTAGCATAATGGCTATGTTGCTGGACTCCCATGTAGTCGACTGCGGTTCGCGTCCCGGACCCGGTGGCTTAAAACTCACGCCGGTCACGTGTGCGTGTGTGCCCAAGATCCCGAGAAGAGGATGGAGAAGGGATTGCGGCATGGCCATTCCCCATGGGGGGTGATTTTTCACTTTCTGTCTCTCTGTTTCTCTCTGTCTGTCTGGCGAGTGCACCCCCTACCAAAAAAAAAAAAAAAAAAAAAAAGCAAAAGGGTGAGCATTAAGCTATGTAATGAATTGAATAGAGAGCTCAGAAAATTATTTCCATTTTGGATTTTTTTTTTAGGTGCAGAGTATTTGAAATCTGTTTTTTCCCCCCGTGTTATGACCAGGTTAAGCTGCCTTTTGGAATTTATTGTTCAAGTAATTGGGGATTCATTAAATTTAAGACCTCAAATTATTCATCAGAAAATCATTTAGTGAAACTCAGTAGTTATTCATTGAGATCCATGGCAGGGCTTGGTTCATGGACCTTTTAGAGATACCAAATCCACTGATGATCAAATCCCAGCCATGACCAGAACTTACGCAAGTATTTGCATATAATTTACACATCTCCCCATATACTTTAAATCATCTTTAGATTATTTATAATATGATAAAATATAAATATAATGTAAATAAAATGTAAATAGTTGTTAATATTTTTTATTTGCATTAATTTTTGTTGTACTGTGTTTTTATTTTTTTCTAAATATTTGCCATTCACATTTGGTTGACCCTAAAACAAAATATCAAGCTCACCTCAATTAGAGATTGAAACCTAGTTTTGTGGAGTTGAGTAGTGAGTGAACAAATAACAGACTTTGTGATTGTAGTTAATTTATGCAAATTAAAAAAGTGATTTCTGGGCTGGCAGGTGGCATGATGGTTAAAGGTGCTAAACTCTCCTGAACCTGGCGGCTTATTTTCTCACCCCTGCCCTTGACCCTCCCCAGTCAAAGTGAAAATAATGATGATGATGATAAATAAATATAATAATTTTTTTTTTTTTTTTTAAGATTTTTGCCGTAAGGCATGTGTGCTTGCTGGAGCCATAGAGACAGACAGAGAGACAGAAAGCGAGAAGTCATCCCCCATGGGGGGATGGCCTTGCCACAGTTTCTTTTTTTTTTGGAGGGATTTTCACTATAGGGTGCATGCGCTCGCCAGACAGACAGAGAGAGACATAGAGACAGAAAGCGAGAAGTCACCCCCCAGGGGGGATGGGCATGCATGCACACGCGCCCGGCGTGAGTTTTAAGCCACCGGGTCTGGGACACGAACCGCAGTCGACTACATGGGAGTCCAGCGACATAGCCATTATGCTAACTGCTGGTTCCCAACCATAGTTTCTTCTCCTCTGTTCTCCACTTGGAATTTTGGGCACACATGCACACATGCCTGGTGTGAGTTTTAAGCCACTGGGTCTGGGAGTCAAACTGGGGTCTGTGTGTAAGTCCAGTGATGTAACTGTTACGCTATCTGCTGGTCTCAAATGAAATATTTATTTAATTTTTTTGGAGAGATTTTTGCTATAGGGCACATGTGCTCACCAGAAAGACAGAGACAGAGAGACAGAAAATGAGAAATCCCCCCCCCCCGGGGGGGGGGTGGATGGCTATGCCACAATCCCTCCCTCCATCCTCCTCTCAGGATTTTGGACACACACGTGCCCGAAGTGAGTTTAAGCCACCCGATCTGGGACTCAAACAGCGATTGACTACATGGGAGTACGGTGACATGGGAGTACAGCCATTACGCCAACTGCTGGTCCCTGAAATAATTCCTTAAAGGAAAAAAATGGCTTCTGGGGCCAGCAGGTGTCATGGTGATTAAGGTGCTGAATTCACATATGGCCAATGATGGTTCGAGTCCTGGACCTGACAGCTTGAAAATCATTCTGGGCACTTACTTTTGCATGCATTCCAAAATCTGAAGAGGAGAAGGGATTTTTCAGCTTGACCATTCTTCCTAGGGGGTGATTTCTCATGTTCCCTCTGTCTCTCTGGCAAGTGTATGTGCTCTAAGGCAAAAATCTTTTAAAAAAATTATTTATTTAATTTTCTTATTCTTTTTAAATTAATGAGAGACAGACAGAGAGAGAAAAGGAAAGGGAGAAAGCAGATTGCCAGGTCTAGGACTTGAACCGTAGTCAGCCATGTTGGGGTTCTGTGCCTTAACCACTGTACCACCTGTTGGCCCTGCAGAAATCTTTTGAATGAAGGAAGGAAGGAAGGAAGGAAGGAAGGAAGGAAGGAAGGAAGGAAGGAAGGAAGGAAAGGTGTTTTCTGAAACATCAGAATGCAAGATTTTAAGTTTTTAAATTTTTACATAACACTGTTCTGTTCAAGACCTCCATCATGATCCATAGGGGTAAATGCATTTAATTTAACTAATGAATAAAGGTAATAGGTGTTTAAGGTAGAGGAATAGATGATAGGGCTTTCTAGGTCATGGAAAGGAGTTTCAGTTTTTTCTTGAAGTATTTAGTATAGAAGCTAGCGATTGATTTTAAATAGATATAATTTAGCATGTTTTAAAAAGGTCATACTGGCTGCTGTGAGAAGAATAAGTAGTATCGATTTCATAAACTCATGGCCTTCAGGAAGGCCTTTACTTAAACCTTAGTAGTTCTGCAAAATATTTGCATATATAATTGGTCACAGGTCAAAATTTTCTTGAATAGCAAAAGTGGAAATGAAAGTAGTTGTATTTTCTCTTTTTTTCTCCCTTGAGTGGTCTTTTTGTTAATTCTGAACAATTTTCCTGTTTTTGAAATCTGAGATATTCTAAGTTAACATTAAAAATAACGTTTCAAAATTGAACTAAAAAGATCGAATTTAGTAGCAGTATAGAAAGATCATTTAGAGGTTTTTGTCTCTTTCCTACTGTAGCTTAACATTTCATATTTTTTTCCATAGGTGAACTTTATTTGTTTAAATTTCCATTTGTCTGTGGTGATACCCTACCTTTCCCATTTGGTATCTGAATAGCTTTGGGAAAGAAATTTAATTTCTCTTTGTGAAATTGGCATAGTAGTGGTATCTATCTGTTAGGGTTGAACTGAGGATTAAGTTAGTAATTCATCAAAATTAGATACTGTGATAATTCTTTACTATTAAGAACTTAAAATGTTGGTGTGTTTGAATGGCCAAGGTATAGTTGATCCTCACTGTTCGTGAGTTCTGTATTCGTGATTTTACTTACTACATAAAATTTTCTTGAAATCCCTAAATCAATCGCAGAGCTTTCACAGTCATTTGCAGACACACATAGAGTGATGAAAACTTTTGAGTTACTCAGTGAGCACATTTCCCAATGAGGTCAGACAAGGTGGACACTCTTCTTTATTTGGCACATAATTTTATAGGTAAACATACTTTTTTGCAGTCTTTTCAGTTTTTTAATTTTTGTGCTTTTTGTTGGTTGTTTCACTGTTTCGATTAGCTTCCAAGTGGCAGTATTATGTAGTGTCCCTAAGCACAGGAAGTCTATAATGTGCCTTATGGAGACAGTAACAAATATCTGAGAGACTTTATTCAGGCATGAGTTGAACTACTGCTGGTTGTGAGTTCAGTGATAATGTATCAACAATATATGTTAACTACTTAACTAACATATTAACAACATATTAACTACTTTTAATTTTCTTATATTTTAATGAACTAATATTAATTCTGTGGTTTTAAGCAAAAACACATAAAACAAGATTATGTATTCATCAGTTGATGAGCATATTGTGACCAGAAGCTTGCAGAACTTAACCCTGTATTTTCCCTAGGAACAGTGGTTCAGTATTCAATAATTCATTGTTTGTGGAAACTTTATAGTACCTTGAATAATGAGAATCAACTGTTTTTACTGTCCTATTTTAAAGTAGTAAAAATACACAGACAGGTCTAAGGCAGTGATCTCATGTGGCAAACTGTGGTCTGAGTCCCAAACCCAAGAGGTTTGAAAACCAGTGGTGTGTGTCAGGGCCAGCAGGTGGTGGTGTGGTTAAGGGTGCTGGACTCCCACATGGCCGACTATGGCTCGGCCTGAGTCCGTGACCTGGTGGCTTCCTTTCTCACATTCTCTCTCTCTCTTTCTTTCTCTCTCTCTCTCTCTCTCCTCCTCCCCTCTCTGGTCAAATAAAAATAAATAAGTAAAGTTAAATAAAATAATTATTTTTAAAAAAAGATAAAAAAAGAATACCAGTGGTGCGCACGTGTGTATTGCATGCCCAAAATCCTAAGGGGAGAATGAAGGAGAAGGTGTTGTGGTATAGGTAGGTGTCCTCCTTGGGGGATGAGTTTTTACTCTCCCTCTGTTTTTCTCTCCCATCTCTGACAAGCCCCACATCCTATAGCAAAAAAACCCTGAAACATAGTTTAGAAATAGGTTAGATTTCTCATTATTTTTAAACTAATGTGACCTCTCTTTAATAATTCAGAAATAGTCTTGGCTTAAAGTTAGGTGTTTCCTTCCATTCTTATTGAGTTGATCCCCCCTCCCTTTTTTTTTTTTTTAAGATTTTTGTCATAGGGTGCATGCACTGTTCTGAAAGAGGAAGTGAGAAATCACCTCACAGGCTGGATGGCAACCTGCAGTCCCTTCTCCTCCATTCTTCTCCTAGGATTTTGGGCATGCATACACATGCCTGATGTGGTTTTTCAAGCCAGAGTCCTGGTCTCAAACCACTGTTGGCCATGGGGGAGTCCAGGGCCTTAACCACCAAGCTGCCTGCTGGCCCAGTTGATTTGTTCTTTATCATATTAAGAAATAACAGTTTTGAATACTAATAAAAAAATATGGGCTTTGTGTTTTTGTCTTTATAGCTTGGTGTTTCACTTAGCAGTTTGGGAGCTATACCAGCAGCAGCACTAGACCCCAACATTACAACACTTGGAGAGATACCACAGCCACCACTTATGGGAAATGTGGATCCTTCCAAGATTGATGAAATTAGGAGAACTGTCTATGTTGGAAATTTGAATTCCCAGGTAAGTAATTTAAAAAGAAACTGAGTAGTAGTGACTCTTATTCTTCTCTTAAAAATCATACTGGGCTTAGTCAAGTAGTGCAATTTATAGTGTCCTGGACTGTAGTGCTGGAGGCCACGTGGCTGCCCATGGGCTGAATCCTTGGGTTGGGCTGAAAACACAGAGTGTGCTATGCTAGGTACCCAAGATTCCAAGGAGCTGAAGGGCTAGGGAAAGGAGATTGTGGTGTGATCACACCTATTGAGGGTACTTTCTTTTGCTCACTCTTGCACGCATGTTGTCATTTTAAAAAGATCATATTGGTTGATAAAGTTGTGTTTAATTTTTAAAAGGAAAATGTTTTATCAAAGTGTCACTTTGTTTCTCAGACAACGACAGCTGATCAACTACTTGAATTTTTTAAACAAGTTGGAGAAGTGAAGTTTGTGCGGATGGCAGGTGATGAGACTCAGCCAACTCGGTTTGCTTTTGTGGAATTTGCAGACCAAAATTCTGTACCAAGGGCCCTTGCTTTTAATGGAGTTATGTTTGGAGACAGGCCATTGAAGTAAGAAACCCTAAACAAAGAAATTTTAATCATTTTGAAAAAATTTAAAGTATTTTTGATATAATTAAGGCTTTTTTTTTCTTTTTAATAGTAATTGGCAATTTGTGGAAAGGAAGACTTTGTGTTAAGTATAAATGAAATATATGAGATTGTTTTAGCTTTAAATTCCTAAAATTCTATTTGAAGACATTTTCTTGTTTTCTATATTGCAAGGTCTGATTTAATGCCAGCATTATTTATATACTCTACATAATAGTTGTAGACCTTTTTCTATAAGCTTTAGGAAGTCAGGATGACTTTGCATTATGATTTTAGACTAATGGGTTCCTTTATGTTTGGGTTGAACTACAGTACTTCTAGTAATGAGAACTTTGGTAAATTCAAAATCCCAGAAAGAAAATAATACTAAGTACAGAAATGTTTTAAAGCAAACACTTTAGTTTTTAAGGTTGCTTGCTTCCTCATTTACAAAAAGTTGATATAGCCTTTAAAGTACTCAAGACTGAAATTTTCATGCAGATTAAAAGATAAGTAATCTATTCTTAGTGCATATTTGTCTTCAGAGTAGAAGTGATAAAGTGAGACACATCATATTCACTTCTGTGCATCATGGAAGCCACTTTGACCTTGTAAAGAGTTTTATCAGCTGGCTTCCACATTTGGAGATACATCCACAGTTGATTAAAATAGTACACATAATATGCAGCTTTTCGTTCATCTATTTGAGGTGAGGTGCACAGCTTATCAACAAAATCTTCTAAGAAAATGAATTGTTTCTACTTTGGTATCAACATTTTCATTTATTATAATTCTAAGCTGTGTGGAGAGTACTAGTTCTGGTATGTTTGAATTATTAAAGGCGTTAGCTAGAGTTCAGTTCCTCCCTCCCTCCTTTTGGCTTTGTTAGAAAGAGATGATGAGAGGCAGAAATGAGATTAGTTGTGCTTTTGAGGTTGTTTTTTGCTGTTCTCTTTCTAGCTGCTTTATTCTTAATGTCCTCACTTAACTTTGTGTATCATATAAACATTTGTTTCATAATTTGTAAAACATTGTGTGTATTTGTGATATGCTGATATTTTTAATTTAGAATAAATCACTCCAACAATGCAATAGTAAAACCCCCTGAGATGACACCTCAGGCTGCAGCTAAGGAGTTAGAAGAAGTAATGAAGCGGGTACGAGAGGCTCAGTCATTTATCTCGGCAGCCATTGAACCAGGTAAGGCCGCAGTGCTGTTACACAGGCCATAGTTGGAAGATCCCAGAAACATAGAGCTGGAGAGAGTTTTAGAATTATCTTATTCAGTCCCTTCACTTTATGAATAAGAAGACTGAAACTCAAGAAATAGTAAGTGGTTTATTCATATCAAAGAACAACTTAGCACATGTCTTGCCTTTTCCCATAATACTGAATTGAGGACCGTTAACCTGAGTTAATTAGCACTTACATTCTAATAGCAAAATGAATGTTCAAAATTAATTTGCTGAAAGCAAAGTATAAATGTTATGAGGCTAAAAAAAAGTAGTAAATATATTTATAATGATAGGGCTAAACAGGTTTACTTTACTTCAAAGTTTTAATTTCAAAAATAAAAAAGGGAGCCAGGGATTTAGAAAAAGAAATGCAGAAACTCTGTTTTAGCAAGGTAAAGGAACACTTATTCAAACTTCTGTTTTGCTAATTAAAATAATTTAAAATCCAAACTAAAAGTGTCTAGGTGGTTTACATTTGAGTAGATTTTCTTCTAAATTAACAGCATTCAAGCCTCAATTTTAGTCAAATAGCAAAATGACTTGAAATCACTGTCATAGGAATTAGACATGTTTAATCGTACGTTATGGCAGCAACAGAATACTACGAACAGCTGTTTATAATCATCTGGTTTATATGTACTGCTGCAGGGTGGCTGCACTCAACGAGTTTATGCAATGACTTTCTTGGATGTTTCTGAAGGATAATTGCACAGGAGGAGGATGTACAGAGAGTAGGCCCCTTGCACTATATGTGGTACATTCCACTTGTGCCTAATTATTAACTGGGATCTTTAATTGTTCTGAGCTTACACTGCAAAGTGGTTTTTTCCTCCCAGAGTCTGGAAAGAGCAATGAAAGAAAAGGCGGTCGATCTCGTTCCCACACTCGCTCAAAATCCAGGTCTAGCTCAAAATCTCATTCTAGAAGGAAAAGATCACAGTCAAAACACAGGTGAGAATTTTTACCAACTTACTAACTTTTTGGTATTTTGTACTTAGGGATTTTTTTAAACATATTAGAATTTAGAAATTTTAGTAGCATTCCTCTGAAAATGTGGCTACTTTTAAATATTGCTTTATTTATACAATTGTAGTTAAGAATGGCAAGGTTGATAATTAAATTTTAATATATTCACTAATTTTTAGTTTTAGAAGTTGGTTTTCTATTTAAAGATAGCGCTGTTTCTGGTTTTCCGAATTAATTAGTCTTTATATGGAAGTGGCAGAAACTGTTTTCATTCTTCATATTGATAAAAGGTAACATATTTAGTGGTAATGGGGAAGATATTGCTCAAGGTGTAGCTTTTTATTTTATTTTCTCAATTTGCCCCAGATCTAGGGAGCATTGTCCCAGATCTTGGTTTCAAGCAATTCCTTGTCTGCAGTACTGTGTGTCAAATGGAGCACTTTGAGTACTCTTGGTTAAAGCCTCCTCTGCCCCCTTTTGAACCTGAAATGCAGGAGTAATTTGGAGCTTCAGCTCCAGCTGGCATATTGTACTTAAGCTCATTTTATATTTCTGTTTTCCTTTTAATGTGTATATATAATTTTCTTGCCAGAGGGTGTGTGAACTGGGGGTGGAGGGGAGGAGGAGAGGAGAAGTAAGTACCTGCGCAATTGGGTGTGGTCGCACCACAATCCTTTTTCTTCCATTTCTGCATCCCATCAGGATTATGAGCACGCACATACATAGGGCCTGGCATGTCCCCCAAGCTGTCAGGGCCAAGACTCAAACAATGCGGGATTCTGCTCCTTTAGCCATTATTCTGGGGGGCTGGCCCATGTTTGTTTTGATCATAGCTTTGATATTTAAAGTTTCTCTACATTATCTATTACTGCTTTGTGTTTGTTGCAAAGGGGACCTAAATATGTAAACTTGGAACACCGTCTTGATTAGAAATGCCCCAAGTATCATGTCTAAGGTGATATATTTTGTTGTTGACTTTGAGGTGTGGAGAAGGGCTGTTACTGTGAATTGTCACTGCATGTTATTGTACATATATACTCATATCTTGAGAGAGGAGGGAGGAGAAAACTAATGTTGAGTCTCACCAGCAAGAGCAAGCTCAGATCTGTTAGCTTTTTTGTGTTGATCAAAGAAATTCAAAGGAGATAGAAAAACTAGGATATTCTTTCTTTAATTCAAGTAGATTGTATTTCTATTTACTGTGTATATATTTATCATTCTTAGTTTGCAAAATTTCCTCTGAAATACAATTTTACTATCTCTATCCAAGGTCTTAAATTAAGACAGTTCCAGAACTGAGTGGAGGAAATTTTTCAGGTACAAGGAATAAAGCTGTGCAGCTGAAGCCTGAATTAGAGAAGGAAAGTGGAACAGAAGTGGCTGTGAACTAATTATAGATATGTCCTCATGTTGACAGGATGTAGTGAGAGGAAAGGAGATAAAGTAACTTTAAAAATGAGCTAATAACTTAATTTCTGGAGGGGGGGGGGGGGGCACTAGTATCCTGAATCTCATTTTGTGATATAAGAAAGGCAAGCACCAAAGGTGAAAAAAAAAAACACAAAAACTTGATGGTAACGTCATTGTTCCCTTGTTAATCTGTGTGAAGCTTTATGTGCTTTTTGAAATTATTTAGCTGTCCACTTTAAAGTTTGGGTTTTTTTTTCCAAGTATTTTTGGATACTTCCCCCTTCCAAAGGTTAGTGGTAGATGGGTTGTTCAATCTAGATTGAAACTTTTTTATGATTATTCTTATTCATAGGAGCACTATCATGTAGATCTGCTTATGTAGCATTAGAAATTACCAGCACTTGCTATATATACACATACAGATTTCATTTGTGTGTCAGGGTATTTTATTGTTTTACATATATAAATAAATACATGTAGCTGCTTCTGAATTCTTAAATACAGAAGAAGACTTTTTAGAAAGAAAATAAAAATCCTTTATGTAAAAACATTCATTTAAAGATTTTTTTTTTCTTTTCTTTTTTGGAGAGGATTTTGCTGTAGGGCGCATGCGCTCACCAGAAAGAGAAACACAGAGCGACAGAAAGCGATAAATCATCCCCTGGGGGCAGGGATGGACATGCTGCAATCCCTTCTCCATTTTCCTCTCGTGATCTTGGGCACGCATGCACACGCACCCGGCATGAGTTTAAGCCACTGGGTCCGGGACTCGAGCCACAGTTGACTACATGGGAGTCGAGCGACATAGCTATTATGCTAACTGCTGGTCCCCCCATTTAAAGATTTTGATCTCCCAAAAGTTAGGGAGGGGATGACAGAGTAGTGTTTCCTCCCATGCTAGTGAGAGTTGGTATTCTTGGATCTTGATCTGATCCTTGAGATTTAGGAGTGTGAATCACAGGAGCCCTTTCTCTTTAATTACCAGAGTAGCACATGTGTATGTGGGAAAGAGAGAGAGAGCGAGAGAAAGCACCTCCCCAGTGGTGCATGGTTATGCCATAGTCCTTTTTCCTTCATTTATCCATCCTGTCATGATTTCAGACACACACATACATGTCTGGTGTGTTTTTCAAGCAGCCAGAGCAGGATTTGAACTGTGGTGAACCATGTGGGATCTAGCTCCCTAAGTGTAATTCTTAACCCTTGTGCTCTGGGGCTGGCCCAGAGTCCCTTTCCCTATAAAGGCGCAGCCTCTTCTACTTTTTCACCGTCATCTTACCCCATCCTCCTCCCTTACCTATTCCTCCTTATTGTAACAGAGAGAAAGGGATTTCTTACCACCATGACCTTGGCAAGGACTGGGGAGATGTGTTTCCACTTTGTCCAAATTTTGATACGTTTTATTCATAGAGACAGTGTTAGAAAAGAACGCTAGTACTATAATTTTTATATTTTTAAGTTAAGTGAAGTAACCTTTCAGACAAGCATAGGAACTGTAAGACATTTTATACTGTTTTAATGGAAAACAACTGATTGACAAATGAACTTTGATGCAACGTAAGGGTAAGTTGCCATTTATTTATAATTTAATTTTAAAATAAAATTTTATAAATTAAAAAATGAGAACTGCTAATGGTAACTCCAGTCTTATTTGTCTTTGTTGGATTAAATCTATTCTTGACTACTTTTTAGCATTCTTAATCAAAACTGCTTAGTGAGTTGAGATAGAGACTGGAAATATTTATGTCAAAATTGTAAAAAATTACTCTCTGGCAGTGACTTTTCGTACTTATAGGACTTATTAGGTAAGGTGGGAATCCAAGTGGTCAGTGCTTTTTTATTGTTAATTTTGATTTACTAGGGCTTTGCTTAATATTTTGAAAGAAGTTTCTTTGTTTAAGATTAGAAAGTTGTTCTTTGAAAAGTTAACTAGAACAAAATTCTTAAATTAAGTGCATAGAAGCAAAGGCACTTCAAAGGAATGCCATATGTGGACATTTGAAAATGGACTAAAGATGTTCTAAGTTTTGCAGTTTTGCCTTAATAGCCACTACTTTGACCTTCACGTCTCTTAGATGATTAGTGCTAATGATTTCAACAGACTGAATTATATTCTTAAAGATGAGATTAGTAAAAGACAAGCGAATAGTTTTGTAAAGTTTTTTAACAGATGAGTAGTCCAGCTGAAAAATATTGGGTCATTGGAAAAGTTATGACTCACTTGCGCATAGAAAAATATGACAGGACTTTTCCAACAACCCAATAGCTATTGGAAAGTGAATTTTGACTAACTGAAAAATGTGTTTAAAAGTAAGATTTCATTATTTGGAAGTGTTTAAAGATATTTCTAGTTTCATACTATACTGCAGCATGGTATTTAAACTATATTTCTTTTACAGATATTTGTTTTAATTGAATTTATTAAATATGACTGACAGTTAAGATTAGTTTTAGTATTTTAGTGATCTTTAAAAAAATTAAAGGAAATGTGTATTACAAAAAAACTATGTATGGATTTAAACATTTTTTGCACCAAAATTTAACCTTACTTTATAATTTATTTTAAAAGAATTATTTATTTAATTTTATTTATTCATTCGTTTATTTAATTTGACCAGAGAAGGGAGAGGAGAGAGGGAGAGAGAAAGCCACCAGGTCCAGGACTCGAACCGTGGTCAGCCATGTGGGAGTATCCAGCACCTTAATCACCATGCCACCTGCTGGTCCCCAAAATTTAACTTTTTTTTAAAGTAATTATTTCATTTACATTTATTTATTTATTTTTAATTTGACCAGAGAAGGGAGAGGAGAGAGGGAGAGAGAAAGCCACCAAACCCAAGACTTGAACCATAGTTTGTCATGTGGATGTCCAGTGCCCTTAACTATCACACCACCTGCTGGCCCCCAGAATTTAACCTCAGAAAAAAAATTTTTTTAAGGTTTTGGCCATAGGGCACATACACTGACTGGAGAGGGACATAGAGAGGGAAAGTGAGAATTCAACCCCTAGGGGCTTGGCCATGCTGCAGTCCCTTTTCCTCCATTCTTCTCTTGTAATTTTGGGATGTAATTTTGCATGTACATTATCTGGTGTGATTCTCAAAAGCCACCAGGTATAGGATTTGAACCATAGCCAGCCATGTTGGAGTCCAGTACCTTAAATTAACTGTATTTTAGCCCCATTTTTCATGAATTTTTTGCAGTTCTCTTGTATACCACGTTTATGGACATTCATTTAACATCTTTGGAATCAATATATAAAATTTAATTTTTAATGGTAATTATTTTGAGTGGTTTTTTTTTTTTTTTTTTTTTTTTTTAGGTTTTTGCTATAGGGCACATGGCTCACCAGAGAGATGGAAAGTGAGAAGTCACCCCTCAAAGAGGATGGCCATGCCACAATCCCTTCTTCTCCATTCTTATGGGATTTGGGCCTGTACTCTCATGCATTTGGGTGTGAATTTTTAAGCTGTTGGGTCTGAGACTTGAACCACAATTGGCCATGTGGAAGTCCAGTGTCCTAACTACCATGCTGTCTGCTGGCCCCTGAGTTAAGAGTTTTAAGTGTTTACTCTATGCCAGAAACTGCTAGGCAGTTTTATTGGGTCCTCGGAAGAGTCATGACATGTTTTTCTATGCAAAAATGCACCAGGACTTTTTCTGATGACCCAGTAAATACATGTATCTGATTTAATCCTCATAACAGTTCTAGGAATTATAGGTATGATTCTTACTTGACTTCCTAAATGAAGAAACTAAGGCTTAGAGAGGTTAAGTGACTACCCAGAAAGCTCATTGCTAGTGTGTGGCATAGCTGAGTTTCACAGTCAGAATCATCAGATGCCAAAGCTGGTGAATCTAGTCACTTGGTTATTTAAGTTGTAAATATTTGTTTTGTAACTTTTATCTTTTTTTTTTTGGAGAGGTTTTTCACTATAGGGCGCATGCACTCGTCAGACAGACAGAGACATAGAGACAGAAAGCGAGAAATCACCCCCCAGGGGGGGTGGTCATGCCGCAGTCCCTTCTCCTCCATTCTCTTCTTGGGATCTTGGGCACGCACGCTCACACGCCCGGCGTGAGTTTTAAGCTACCGGGTCCGGGACGTGAACCGTGGTCGACTACGTGGGAGTCCAGAGACATAGCCATTACGCTAACTGCTGGTTCTCTGTTTTGTAAATTTTAACAAATATTTCCTAGGATACATCATTATGGGAAAGAAAATCATATTATAAAAAGTTATTTTAGTGGGGAAAAGGGCCTGGACAGAATTGGAGTCAGTTACTTTCTTTTATGAATTCAAGTATTTAAAGTTTCTTTTAATAGCTAGGATCATAGTTACAGTTATAAAATCAAGACCTTGCAAACTAACATTGGATTATATCTAGTTTTACTCATGAGGAATGATTTTATTTTCTTGTCACATTAGTACTGTCATTAATACTACACTTGTACATTTTTCTTAATACGCTTTTTATGAGGTTGTATACAGCTATTTATGGAAACTGTTGATCCATATAACTGCTACATCCTCTCAAGATGAGTTTAATCAGATTAAATATAAGTCAAGAGTAAAAGACGGGAACCAGCGGTTGGCGTGATGGCTGTGTCGCTGGATTCCCACGTGGTCAGCTGCGGTTCGTGTCCCGGACCCGGTGGCTTGAAAGGCTCACGCCGGGCACGTGTGCGTGCGTGCCCGGGATCCCAAGGGGAGGGTGGAGGAGAGGGGATTGCGGCGTGGCCATCCCCCCTGGGGGGTGATTTCTCGCTTTCTGTCTCTGTGTCTCTCTCTGTCTGTCTGGCGAGCGCATGCGCCCTTGTGTGGCGCGCGCAGGCGCCCTACAGTGAAAAACTCTCCAAAAAAAAAAAAAAGTTAAAAAAAAAAAGAGTAAAAGACAATTCATGGTGTGGAAACTTGGACCATGGAAAAAAAAAACTTTTATCATAATTTGAGGCATATAGAATTAGCAAGTGACAGTCACACTTCAAAATAAGTATCAACTTAAATTTGGTATAGGAAGTAATTTTTTGGGGGGAGAGTAGAGGTTTTTGCTTTTAGGGCAAATGTGCTCGCCAGAGAGAGAGACAGTGAGAGGGAAAGTGAGAAATCACCTTTGTAATCCTCTTGTATAACACATTTATGGACATTCATTTGACATCTTTGGGATCAATATAAAAAGTTTATGTTAATTTTTAATGGTAATTATTTTGAGTAAGAGGCCATTCTTCCCGGGAATGGCAATTCCATAATCCCTTCTTCTCCATTCTCTTCCTGGGATCTTGGGCATGCATGCATGCATGCATCCCTAGCGTGAGTTTCAAGCCACCAGGTCTGGGACTTGAACCATGGTTCGCCGTGTGGGAGTCCAGCAATGTAACCACTACGTCATTTGCTGGCCCCTAGGAAGTAATTTTTAAATTCTGTCTCTGTTCTGGACAATGAAATACCTGGTAAAGCTTCCAATAAATACATTTATTTTGGATAATTAATTAAAGCATTATATTAAAAAGAACTTTAAAATATTTATAAATATTGTTAGGATAAATATTTTTTCTTGAAAGACATCTTGAAATTTTTTAAAATTGAAATTCTAGGAATGAGTTTTGATAGTCTAACAACTTTGTTTTTCTTTAGGAGTAGATCCCATAATAGATCACGTTCGAGACAGAAAGATAGGCGTAGATCTAAGAGTCCACATAAAAAACGCTCTAAGTCAAGGGAGAGACGGAAGTCAAGGAGTCGTTCACGTTCACGGTGAGTTTTAAGTTAAGGATAATTGTTTTATTACCTTCGTTTGTTAAAAGTTTATTGTTGTCTACTTTTTAATGAGAGAAAATTTAGTAATGTAGGAGTACTATTGATTTGCCATGGATTTGAATATGGTAATATGATTCATGAGGTTTAGCCTGGTAATTGCTTCATTTAGCAGCTTTGTATGCACCTGACATAGATAGAAATTTATGTGTAATGTCTGGAACTTTTACTTTGTGTGGTTATCATTGAGGAAAGAATGGAGGTCCTTATTGTGGAGCAGACTTACTTTAGCTATGAATTTACTTACTTATTTTTGTTTTTAAAGGGACAAGAGAAAAGATACCCGAGAAAAGATCAAGGAAAAGGAAAGAGGAAAAGAAAAAGATAGAGAAAAGGAAAGGGAAAAAGAGAAAGAAAGGGAAAAAGAACGTGAAAAAGAAAAAGAACGGGGTAAAAACAAAGATAAAGATCGGGACAAAGAACGAGAAAAGGACCGGGAAAAAGACAAAGATAAGGACAGAGAGAGAGATCGAGACAAAGAGCATGAAAACAAAGAGAAGGAAAAGGAACAGGACAAAGAAAAGGAACGAGAAAAGGACAGATCCAAAGAGGTAGATGAAAAAAGAAAGAAGGATAAAAAATCCAGAACACCACCCAGAAGTTATAATGCATCAAGAAGATCTCGTAGTTCCAGCAGGTTTGGTATTGCTTAAAATGTTTTATCGAAGGATTTAGTGATTAAAAGTAAAAAATTTTTATCTATGGGGGATAATATTATTTTATGCAAAGTGAAACCAGTATAGTAATAATAGAACATTTCTTCCTAATTGCAGAGTAAACACATTTCTCTAGCAGATAGATTACAAAGAATTGCCCCTATGAGAAAGATGTGATGATATTGGGGGAAATACTGAAAACTTTTAACTATCCTTTGTAATCTACTATTTTAACCCTGCTAATAATATCAGGGAACTTCAAAAAGTTCATGGGAAAATGGAAATAAAGTAGATTTATTTTACGCAAAAAATCTTGAAATCTGCAGTTTTTTCATAATACATGTTTTCCATGAACTAATTCAAGACCTTTCTTAATAATGATTATTGTTTTTAGTCTCTTGAAAGTTAAGATGACAGGGGATGTTATTTTAAAAAGAAATACAGAATTAACCTTCTAAGCATCTATATTTCTTTGAAATGGGGTGGTAAATTTTAATATGAACAATGATGTCTAAAGCTGCAGTGTTATCTTTTTGTCATTTAAGTTAATTCTTAACTCTATTTTGTTGAGTACATGGCATTTATGTTCTGTTTCTTTTATTTATCGGTTTTAAGGATTTGAATTTTTTTCCCTTAGGACTGTGCTAATTTGAATGTATTAATAGGTACGCTGCCACCAGGTGGCAGCAGGTTACCATAGTAACAGCTGCAAGATGAGATCCTTCCTTGAAATTCAAGATTATCTAAATTCATATCCCTTATTCCAGATGATACCGATTACTATGATTATAAATAAATGGAAGTTTGTAACTTATGTTAAATTGTTTCTTAAGGATAGTGTGTGTGTGTGTGTGTGTGTGTGTGTGTGTGTGTGTATTTTAGCTTTTATTTTTTTTATTAGTTTTTGCTATAGGATGTATGTGCTTGCCAGAGAGAGGAAAAGTGAGAAAATTACCCCCAACCCCAGAGGCTGGCCACACCCAAACTGGTTCTCCCCCAACTCTAGTCTCAGGATTTTGGGCACATACATACATGCACCTGGCGTGTTTTTCAAGCCACCAGTCTGATACTTGAACTGCAAACACTGCCATGTGGGATCCAGTGTGTTAATCTCCATGCCAGTTGCAGGCCTGCAGTTTTTTTTTTTTTTTTTTTGAATTTTTTTTTTTTTTGGAGAGGTTTTTCACTATAAGGGCGCGTGTGCTTGCCAGACAGACTGAGACATAGAGATAGAAAGTGAGAAATCACCCCCCAGGGGGGATGGTCATGCTGCAATCCCTTCACCTCCATTCTCCTCTCGGAATCTTGGGCATGCACGCACATGCACCCGGCATGAGTTTTAAGCCACTGGGTCCAGGATGTGAACCATGGTCGACTACGTGGGAGTCCAGTGACATAGCCATTACGTTAACTGCTGGTTCCCTGCAATTTTTAAAAAATAAAGTTTGCTTGTTTATTTTTTCCATGAGAGACAGGCATCCAACAGAATCTTCACACCCTGAACCACTCCCAGTCTTAGCTTGATTGTGGGCCTGTGTGCACTGGCATGCTCTCAGAGAGGGCCTAGTGCCTTTTCCATGTGGGTGTGGTTGCATTGCCACTGCACAGTTGCCTGCTCCCTAGTAAACTTAAAGATATTTTAAAGATAATCTTTCATAGCAAGTAATTTGAGATGAATGAATGCATGTTTCCTATTTTTGAAACTTGTATTTTTAATAGTTCACTCCTGGTGCTAGCCTTTAGCTGGATAGTATAATTGCAGGCGTTTATTGGATATTTTACTGTGTGCTAGTTATTATATCTCATTAGACTTTTTCATTTCTTACCTTATTTTCAACAAGCATGTGAGAAAACTGTTAATATTCACTATTCTAAAACATGAGGAAATTGGGGTCAGCAGATGGCGTAGTGGTTACATCGCTGGACTCCCACATGGCTGACTGTGTGTTTTGAGTCACAGATCCGGTGGCTTGAAAATCATGCCAGGTGTATGTACGTGTGTGCTCAAGATCCCAGTAGGAAAATATAGAAGAAAGGATTGTGGCATGGCCATTCCTCCTGGGTAGTGATTTCTCACTTTTCTTCTTACTGTCTCATCTCTGCCCAGTGATGGCACATGCCCTAAGGCAAAAACATCCTTAAAAAATTAGGAAATTGAAGCTTAGAGGAAACTTTCCATCTACTCTAGTATCAGAACTATGTAGTATTTTTTCCTTTTTATTTTAGGGATTTAAGTTTGAGAGTTCTTTAACTATTACTTGGTAACTACTTTTAAAAACTTCCTCAGAGGGGCCAGCAGGTGGCATGGTGGTTAAGGTGCTGGATTTCCGCATGGCCAACTGTGGTTTGCGTTCCAGACCTGGCAGCTTGAACAGCACACTGGTGCCTGTGCATGCATGCCCAACATCCCAGGAAGAGAATGGACAAGAAGGGTTTGGGTGTGACCATCTTCCCTGGGGGGTGATTTCTCACTTTCCCTTTCTCTCTCCTCCCAGACTGCATGTGCCCTGAGACAAAAACCTAAAAAAGAGGAAAGAAAAAGAAAAACTGCATCAGGAACATAAATTTGACAGCAATAGTATATGTTAAAAATGAGACTAAAAATAGATCATTGTCAGAATTCATCACATTGAGCCAAAAATTAATAAATTATTTAACTCTCTTTGCTGTTGGTAACATTGAGACTTGTGACTGTACCTTTATCACAAAGTAATTTTATTGATTCTGACTTTGTGTGTGTTCTTCATAGCACCAAATAATGTTTTTTTTTTTTTTTTTTTTTTTTGAGAGAGATTTTCACTGTAGGGCGCGTGCGCTCGCCAGACAGACAGAGAGAGACATAGAGACAGAAAGCGAGAAATCACCCCCCAGGGGGGATGGTCACGCCGCAATCCCTTCTCCTCCATTCTCCTCTCGGGATCTTGGGCACGCACGCACACGCGCCCGGCGTGAGTTTTAAGCCACCGGGTCCGAGACACGAACCGCGGTCGACTACGTGGGAATCCAGCGACATAGCCATTACGCTAACTGCTAGTTCCCACCAAATAATGTTTTGATTTCTTTTTAATAGCTTGAGTTTACTGGGCCCAGCAGGTGGTGTAGTAGTTAAAATTGCTGACTCCCACGTGTCCATCGTGATTCAAGTCCTGGACCTGACAGCTTAAAACTCAGGCCGGGTGTGCAGAATGGAGGAGAGGAGAAGGGGTTGCAGAGTGGCATTCTCACTTTTTCTCTCACTGTCTCTCTCTGGCCAGTGCATGCACCCTATGGTAACAATCTCTAAAAAAATACTGAGTGGCTTTAAAACGTTTAATCTTTTTAGGAGCCATTTTAAGTCACTTGAGCTTTAAGAAACTTGAGGTGTTCACATTTAGTCTTAAATATTATTCATAAATAAAACCTCTGAAGCCTGGAGAATAAAAGATGACTGACAATTTATAAAAGTTGAGCAATTTGGAATGTTTCATGCTTTCAGAAGAGCTTGGTTAAGAGTTAATCATTGTTTAGCATTTTTCTGCTTTTTAGCTGCTCTGTTTTGTTAATTAAATGGAAACTTTTTAACTGGCCAAAATAGTTTACTTAATATTTTTATTTCCATCATTGTCTCCTTTTCTTTCACTCTTTATATACATACATACATATAAAGAAATATATATTTTTTGCTATAGGACGTTAGGTTCTTGCTAGAGAGAAAAAGGTGAGAAATCATCCCCTGGGGGATATGGTCACACTGCAATCCCTTCTCTTCTAGTCTCTTGGGGTCTTGTCCACACATGCACTGACGTGTACCTGACACGATTTTCAGGCTGCCAGGTTCAGAACTCAAACCACACAGTTGGCCATGTAGGATCTAGCACCTTAACTTCTATGCTGCCTGCTGGCCCTCCTCATCTATATTTTTAAAGAAGATTTTAATATTAAAAAAAAAATTGGGGGACTGCCTCTGTGGCCTGGTGTTTGAGGCAACCGAATCCTAGCTGTCTGGCCCCATGGTTTTACTCCTGTAGAATCAGTGGCCTGAGGAAAATACCAGGCATGGGTGCATTTGTGCCCCAAAACCTAACAGGATGGAGAGATGGAAAAAAAAGGATTGCAGTGTGATTATTCCCCATGAGGTATGCTTTCTCCCTCTTCTCTTTCTGGTGGGCACATGTGTTCTCTAGCAATATTTTAAAAATACTTTCATGCTTTAATATTACTGTCGGTAAAGATGAAATCAAGAAAGAGGAGGGCCAGAACGTGGTGTGGTGTTTTGGCCACCGAATTCCATGGATCAAGACCTAGTGACTTGAAAAATTATACTAGCTCATGTGCATACATGCTCCAGATACCCAGAGGAAAAATGGACGAGAAGGGATTGTGGCATGCTCATTCCCCCAGGGGGCACTTTCTTACTTTCCCTCCCTCTCTCTCTTTGGAGTGCACGTGCCCTGTAGCAAAAATTAAAATAATAAAGTAAGAAGAAAATATTTACCGACCACCTATTATGTGCCAGACTCTCTGCTTAATATACTTTCAGGTATTATCCTAAGTCTTCTCTACAATCCTATAAAACTTGAGTTACTAATTATCTGTCTTTCAAGTTGAAAAAAAACAGACTCAAATAATGTGACCTGTCAGGTAGTTAGGTATAGGACTAAAATTGAAGTCTAAATTTAACCAACTCCAGTTGTTCATACCACAGGCCACAGCTTTTGTTTTAAATATTGGGTCATTGAAAAGTCATTACCTATTTTTCTATGCAAAAAGGTGCTATGACTTTTCTTACGACCCAATAATTTTGCAGTCCAGGTTGCTGTCTATCCAGTGTTAGCTTTCATCATCATCAACTAGTAGTTACTAGACGTCCAGCTATACATAGTGCTTTCTGAACGAAGAATTAGACTGATGATCAAGGCAGTGCCATTTGTGTAGACATCTACCATACATACCACATGTGTGCATTATTTTTTTACTTATAAACACAAAGCTTGGACAAGATTTTACTTTTGATTGCCGGAAGATAATGTGTGCTCACTGCACAGAGAGAGAACATCCCCCAAAGGTATCTGATCACACCACAGTTCTTTTCCTCTGTCTTTTCAGGTTTTTGGGTATGCACTCAAGCACACATGCTCAGTGTGTTTTTAAAGTTGCTGGAGCTAAGAATTGAACTGTGGTTAGCTATGTGCTACATGCCCGGTCCTTAGTATTGTTTTTAATAATAAATGCTATTGTTTCATTTAGCAATGATTTTTTTTTTACTTTATCATATTTAAACCTTAGATTTACTAAGCAACTGTGCAGTTTTAAATTAATAGACCAACAGTAGTGAAGTGATAGGTTATAGGGAAAAGCAGTTTCTCTGTAAAATTGTACTGATGTAAATCCTTTGACGGAAACATTATAAATCCATGGGTCTGGTCTACAAAGTTCACGTTTTTCAAGCCAGCTTATCTCAGTTCTTATGAAGGGCCTCTTTGTTACAAAATAGTTCACAGTGTAGCAGCAAAGAGCTAGATAGATGTGTGTGAAAGGGTCTAATGAACAAAACATGTTTTAGATGCCTGGAAAGAACTTTTTTTTTTTTTTTTTAAGATTTTTGCCCTACGGTGAATGCTTGCTGGAAAGAGAGACAGAGAGAGTGAAATTGAGAGATCACCCCTGTGGGGCGGGGGCTGGGTATACCACAACCCATTCTCCATCCTCCTGGGATTTTGGGCATGTGTACACATGAGCTTAGCATGATTTTCAAGTCCCAGGACTCCAACAGTGGTTGGCCATGTGGGAATCCACTGCCTTCATCCCCACACCAACTGCTGGCCCTGCCTGATTCTGGACTTGAATTGCAGTTGGCCACGTGGGATCAAGCACCTTAATCACCACGCCACCTACTGGCCCAGAAAGAACATCTTTGATTTGAGAATCTCAGAGACATCATTAATGTTTTTTCTACTCAAGAAATTATTGTTCAAATAAGCAGATATAAAGGTACTCTCCTTTTTACAATATTAGGTGATGCTTGTGTAAGTCTTTAATATTTATGGTTCATAATTTGACCAGCACTAAAATTAGGAAATAGAATAAGGACATAAGTTTAAACTGGTCTCTAAAGAATACCATTCACATGACAACATTAAAGACCTCTTTACTTTTGTGTATTTGAATTGCCTTTTATTTCAGTTGCTGGTGTGAAAAATGACATATTTCTGACTTCTAGGGAAAGGCGTAGAAGGAGAAGCAGGAGTTCTTCCAGATCTCCAAGAACATCAAAAACTATAAAAAGGAAATCTTCTAGATCTCCATCTCCTAGGAGGTAGGTTGAAAATACGTTCTGGAAACTAACGGGGAAGAAGTGACAAATTTAAAAATTCCTTTTCAGTCTATTTTTAAAGCTTTATATAAACGTGCTTGTGTGTGTGAATGTGTGTGTATATGTATATTTACATATATACTTTACACATATACACATACTTTTCTAGATGCTGAGAATATATGTATATTTACATTATAAATGTATTTGCTTATATATTATGGTTTAGACACTGGGGAAAGTATATATATTATTTATTTTAGTTTTTTGTTAGAGTGTATGTGTGCTCCCTGAAGAGAAAGAAATAGTGAGAAAGCATCACCCATGGGGGATGGTCATTCTGCAGTCCTCTCTCCCTCTATTCAGATTTGGGCTTGCATGCATCTGCACCCAGCATGTTTCCCAAGCTGCTGGGTCCATACCTTGAACTGGTTGGTCAGCAAAGAAGGTACTATCTGTCTTAACCACCACGGTACCAACTGGTCCTAGGGATAAAGCATTTCTTAAGCAACAGATTACTACTTTGCCACAGAGTTGGCCTCCAATACTATTTATTAAAAACTCATTTTTATCTAATATTTATTTGCTATGTTGCCTTCATTGCATATTAAATTTTTTGTTATGTCTTTGGGTGTATTTCTGGTTCTTCTGTGCTGTTAGATTGGCTTACCTGACCGTTGTATGCCATTCTTCATGCTTTTAATTACTGAGATCGTACAGTATTTTAAAATATCTAATAAGACCTGCCCTCTTTTTGTACTTTCTTGACTATTTTACATATTTATTTTTCCATTCGAGCATCAGAGTCAGTTGTGTAGGTGCCAGAAATAGAGCCTATTATGACTTGTGTTACAATTGCATTACATTTATAATTTAAAGAAAATTAATAAATAGATTTATATACAAAACTTTCTGATGTTGAGTCTTTCTGTCTAGGAATATGTTTTATCTTTCTCTGTATTCACATTAGTCTTGGTGTTCTTGAGAAATTTTTGAATATTTATAAAGGTTTTATGCATTTCCTAAGTTTATTCCTGGATGTTTTTTCTTTTTTGTTGCTTTTGTAAATACGGTCTTTTCTTTTCATTATGTCTTATAATTAAAAGGTTAGATTTGTACATAGAAGGGTTATTGATTTCTGTAAATTAATTTTTTTAATCTCACTGCCTTACCAGTTTTTCTGTTGATTTTCTAGATACAGAAAAGAGAAATTCATAAAAAGCTTTTTCAGAGTACTAGCATGTTTCCTAGCAGAGGGTTGTTTGTTTATTTGCTGTAGCTTTTTGTTTTGTTAAAATAATGGTATATACTACTATGGAGGTGAGCTATATTGGAATTTTTGAAATAAATGCTTTGCTGAGGAAACTCAGAAAACTTTTCTCATTTGTCGGGACTGCCCAGTGGTAACAATGCTGTGCAAGTCTGACATGCGTGGAGTAGTTCTGAGTTTGCATCTGGAGACCTGACTGATTACTCAAGGTGTGTGTAATCCTGATCCAGGATAGGCTGAGGCTGGGGGTAGATTGGAGGTACTGTCTCTATCTTTTCTGTGTCTCTATCTTTTTTAAAACTTGCTAGAGGGCGCATGTGCTACTGAAGAGAGAGAAAGGGAGGGAGAGAATGGGGAAATGAGAAAGCAGCCCTCATGGGATATAGTCAGGCTGCAATTCCTTCTCTGTCTCTTCCTTTGGGATTTTGGGAATACATACACATGTGTCTGGTATGTTTCTCAAGCCACCGGGTCCAGGTCTTGAACTGTGCTGTTGGCCGTGTGAGATCCACCTACCTTAACTACCACGTCACTGGCTGGTCCTTATGTATTTATTTATATTTTATTTTTTTGTGCACATCTCTCTTACAGAAGAGATAAATAAACTTAAAAAAAGTCCCCAAACTTATCTAATTTGTGAACTCAAATTAGACAAGAACACGTATTTAGAAAATGTCATTCCCTGGACCAGCCAGTGGCATGGTGATTAAGGCAGCTGGATCTTACATGGCAAACATTCTGGTTCTTTCTGCTTATCTCCCTTTCATTTTCTTTTCTTTTTTTTTCTGAGAGGTTTTTGCTATAGGACACGTGCGCTCGCCAGAAAGACAGACACAGAGAGAGAAAGCGAGAGAAATCACCCCCCACCCCGGGGGAGAGGGGGTTGGCCACACCACAATCCCTTTTCCTCCATTCTCCTTTCAGGATCTTGGGCACACACGCACATTGCCTGGCATGAATTTAAGCCACCAGGTCCGGGACTCGAACCACGGTTAACTACATGGGAGTTCAGCAACATAGCCATTATGCTAACTGCTGGTCCCTCCCTTTCATTTTCTTGATGTACTCTAAGAATTTCTCTAAGAGCTAATCTGGTGTTGGTGAATTCTTACAGTTTTTATTTGGCTGAAATTGTTTTTATTTCAGAATTCTAAATATACCTTTACAACTTGATGCTTCTGTTGCCATTTTTAGAATATTACCTTTATTTTGGATTTTCCATTTTTGGCAATGAATGCAGCTTAGAGAGGCTCTTTTGTTGATTCTGTTTGTGTCTTTTGTATTTCCTGGTGCTGGATGTTTGTATATCTCTAGATTTGGAAAGTTTCTAGGTTGTATTTTGTGAAATATTTTATGTGCCTTTATCTATCTCTTCACCTTTTCTAATACCCATTATGTGGATATTTGGCAGCCAAGTGGTGCCTAAAGTTTTCCATGGGTTGTCCTCACTTTTAGTGTTTATTTTTCTCATTCTTTTTGGTGACTTTTGTCTTCAAGCTCAGAAATTTGTTCTTCTGCATGGTCTAATTTTTTTTTGATACTTTGGAGAGAGATTTTGATTTCCTTTATTATATCTGTCATTTTTTTTTTTTTTGGAAGAGGTTTTTCTATAGGGCGCGTGCGCTTGCCAGACAGACAGAGAGACAGAAAGACAGAAAGCGAGAAATCACCCGCCAGGGGGGATGGCCACGCCACAATCCCTTCTCCTCCATTCTCCTCTCGGGATCTTGGGCATGCACGCACACGCGCCCGGCATGAGTTTTAAGCCACCGGGTCCGAGACGCAAACCGCGGTCGACTACATGGGAGTCCAGCGACATAGCCATTACGCTAACTGCTGGTCCCTGTATCTGTCATCTTTAGGAGTTTGTTTGATTCACTTTAGGGTGTCTGTCTCTTTATAGAGCTCCTCCTTCATGTCTTGATTTTCTTCTTTTTTGAGAAGAGATTTTTGCTGTAGGGCATTTGTGCTTGGCAGAGTGACAGAAAGCAGTAAATCACCCCCCAGAGGGAATGGCCATGCAGCAATCTCTTCTCCTCTAGTCTCCTCTTGGGAGTTTGGGCATGAACGCACACGTGCCTGGTGTGTTTTAAGCTGCTGGGTCTGGGACTCGAACCAGGGTCAACTTATGTGGGAGTCCAGTGATGTAACCATTGTGCCATCTGCTGGTCTCCATGTCTTGATTTTCTCCTATCCTGGAATTGATTGTTTTCACTTGAATCTTGTTGAGTTTTGTTATGATCAATATTCTGAATTCCTTTTCAAACGTTTTGGTGATGTCGCTCCCTGGTGGTCTAGTGGTTAGGATTCGGCGCTCTCAAACATTGTGGTGATTTTCTATGTATTAAATGTTGTTTTTGAGGAGTTACTGTGTTCTTTTGGGGGAGAGATATTTCTTTATTTATTCTTTTATTTTCATATGTCTTTGTGGTGATTTTTAGGCATTTGATGGAGTACTTCTAGATTTTATGGGGTAGATTCTATGTGCCTTTACCTATCTCTTCACCTTTTCTAATAACCATTATGTGGATATTTGGCAGCCAAATGGTGCCAAAGGGTAGAAGGGTAGGGGTCAACTCTCAGATGTGGTCCCTGCCAGTAACCAGACGTTCCTTTCGGATCCAAGCCAGACTTAACCTGCCTATAATTTCTTGGAGCACGTCGACCTGCCAAACCTGAGTGTGCTCTGGCAGGTTCATCTAAGAAGGGCTGGAGGCAAGCTTGTCTGTGGGACCCAGGATCAGTTTAATGCATTCCATGTGAGACGCAGGTAGGGAGATGACCTTCAAGGCTTGCACTTTGCTCGGTGAAGGTGATTCAGGAGATAGAGGAGGTAACCCATCCTATAGAGTCTGTTGGGCTTGTCTTTCCAGGGGTGGGTCGGCCCCCAAGACCAAGATATGACCCTGCCAGAGGTGGTCTATGAGCAGTTAGCAGCTGGCTGTGCCTTTCTGATCCAAACAGGGCTTATGCTCCCTCCTATAAAACTGGGCAGTCAGTTGTTTGGACTGAAATGTGGCCCTGTGTTTTCTTTAAACTTTTATGTTTCTCTCTTTTATTCATTTTTAGTTAATTTTTTTATGTAGTGTGAGGTAGAGGTCCAGCTTCAATCTTTTACATGCGTATATCCATATTTTCCCACATTTGTTGAAAAGATTTTCCTTCCTTTATTGAAGGTTTTGACACTTTGCTGAAAATCATTTGACCAAATAATGTAGTTTATTTCTGAGCTTTTTGTTCTTTTTATTATTTTTGGTGCTACTTGTTTTCTTTTTCTTTAAGTTATTTGTAAGGGAACAGCAGATGGCTCAATGGTTACATTGCTGGACTTCCATGTAGTTGATTGCCATTCAAATCCTGGACCTGGAGCTGGGCACGTGTGTGTGCGTGCCCAAGATCCTAAGAGGAGAATGGAGGAGAAGGGATTGTGACGTGCTATCTCCTTGAGGGTAATTTCTCACTTTCTGTCTTGTCTCTGTCTCTCCAGTGAGCGTAAGCTCCCTGAAGCAAAAATCTCTTAAAAAAAAAAATAAGAAAGAGTTATGTGCAAGATATACATATAAGATGCAAGTGTGTGTGTATATGTGTAATATATACATATATTTGTACGTGTGTGTGTATGTATGTATGTATATTATTTTAGGCATGTATACACTTAGACCTGTTGTGTTTTTTAAGGCGGTGCATTTAATAAGACTCAGAACCACCCAGTCAGCTATGTGAGATCTAGCTACCTTAACCACCATTGCCGCTGGCTGGCCCTGCTGCAAATATTTTTTCTATGTCATTTTTGTTTTGAGTATGCTAATGATGTTCTTTTTGCCTTATAAAAATTTACATAATTCAGATTTATTGATATTTTTATCCCCATATACCTGAAGTTTCAGTTAAGGTAGGAAAAATTTCCCATCATAAAAGATAAAGGATCTTACTCATGTTTCTTGTAGTACTCATATCATTTTATTGTAAAAATGTAGATCTCTAATCCAATTGGACTTCTTTTTAGAGAGATTTTTGCTGTAGGGTGCATGTTCTTACTGGAGAGACAGAGAGACAGAAAGCGAGAAATCACTCCCTGATGGGATGGCCATGTTCAATCCCTTCTCCATTTTTCTCTCCGGAATTGGGCACGCATACACACACACACACACGCACACACACACACACACACACACACACACACATACACACAGTGTTACAGCACTTGAGCCACAGTTGACTGTGGGCATCCAGCAGTGACCTGGACTTTTATTTTATTTTATTTTTTTTAAATTTCCAGAGGGCATGTATGCTCACCAGAGACAGAGAAAGCACTCCTATTGGACCATCATCATACCGTAGTCTCTTCTGCATTTTTCCATTTTGGCAGGGAGACTTTGGGGCATGCACATACACATACAAGCCTGACTTGTTTTTTTAAGCAGCCAGGGCCAGGATTTCAGTTGCCATTGGCTATGTAGGGTCTGGCTGTCTTTTTTTTTTTTTTTTTTTGGAGACTTTTTTGCTATAGGGCGCATGCGCTCGCCAGACAGAGAGAGACAGAGAAACAGAAAGTGAGAAATCACCCCCCACGGGGGGTGGCCACGCTGCAATCCCTTCTCCTCCATTCTCCTCTCGGGATCTTGGGCTCGCACGCACACGTGCCCGACGTGAGTTTTAAGCCACCGGGTCCTGGACGCAAACCGCAGTCGACTACGTGGGAGTCCAGCAACATAGCCATTACGCTAACTGCTGGTCCCGAGTCTGGCTGTCTTAATCCCTAGGTTACAGGGCTGGCCCTGATGGGATTTATTTCTGTATGTGGAATGAGATATGGATCCAGTTTTATTATCCAGTTGTGCCAAGACCTACTATAAAAGAGCATCTTTTGTTTGGTAATTCGAAATGCCACTTTTGTTATACTAAATTTTTTAGGTACTTCAGTACCTGTATTTGTCTTTGTTCTGCTGATCTTTGTTATGTCTTATTTTTAAACTATTCTTAATTAAGAGGAAAGGTTTAGAAATCTTTATTAGGTCTCTTCACCTCTGAAGATAAGCTGTTATGCTTCTGATATGAAATGTGTTGGTTTTTTTTTCCTGTAGTCTTAAGGGCATGCTATTTTAAAGAATGGTATATTCATTCCATCATCTGCTAACTTTTGCTCTTGGGTTTGTTGGACTTCTAGTGTTGGATGAGGAGAGTTGGTTGTGCAGTAGATGTTTTTTGACATTCTCAGTTTTGCTGGTAGTCACTCAGTTCTGCCTAGGAGTCTTATGTGTCTCTATTGTTCTTACTACTTTCTGCCTGTTCATTCATTGTTTTGAAAAGGTATATAAGAAAACATTGTATTTGGTTTTATTTTTATTATAGTATACAAATGAATCTTGAATATTTCAAAACTAATACAGTTGCAATACTGAGTTGTGTTTTACATGAACACATGATGGCCTATGCCAAAATTATATATCTTTGAAAAACTAATTGAGGTAAGGGTTGAAGTAGGTGTGGTTTGTGGACTGATTTATATAACTTTTTCAAACTAGCTTGCTGATATGCTTACTTATAATGCACTTATAAATATCTGATATGTTAGGAAAGGATTTTTTGCCAAGAATATAGTAGGTTTATAATTTTTTAAAAGTTAACTGACATGTTATCAATATTTTTATAGCAGAAATAAGAAAGATAAAAAGAGAGAAAAAGAAAGGGATCACATCAGTGAAAGAAGAGAGAGAGAACGTTCAACTTCTACAAGAAAGAATTCTAATGACAAAGACGGGAAGGAAAAGTTGGAGAAGAATAGTACTTCACTTAAAGTAAGCAGCAGTCATTCAGTGTTTGGGCATTAAATAATTGAGATTTTTAAAAATAATGATTTAATTTTATTTGTTGTTATTATTTTTTTTTCTTTCATTTGACCAGAGAGAGAAAAGGAAAGTGAGAAAGCAAGTTGCCAGATTCAGGACATGATCCGTGGTCATCCATGTGGAAGTCTAGCACCTTAACCACTATGCCATCTGTTGGCCCCAGTTGAGCTGTGTTTTATTGCACAGAAATAACTTAAGATTAATAACTTCTTGAGGGCAACAATGTCTAAAAGATGAGAGCCAATTTAAGCAGTTGTGAGCCATCCCATGGCGTAGTGGTTAAGGGAGCTGCACTCCACATGGCCAGTTGCTGTTCAAATCCTAGCCCCAGTGGCTTGAGAAACGAACTAGGCTCTGTGCACATGTGCCCAAAATCCCAACAAGGAGGAGACATAGAGGACAAGGGATTATGGGATAACTATGTCCCGCTAGGGGGTGCTCTCTCCTTTTCCCTCCTTTCTTTTTCTCTGGTGAGCATAGGCTTTCTCTCACAATTAAAACAATTTAAATGTCTGCAATCCTTATTTTAGAGAATCATGGAATGTCATATATTAAAGTTGTTAGAAGTCTAGGTAACCAGTGTATTTTGCTTCTGTACTGCTAAGATTTTTTTACCTGATGGCATTTTCCTTAGTTATGTTTCAGCTAATTTGACAGGACTTTGTATTGACATTAGTTTTTTAATATATAGTTAAGATTAGGTTTGTTGAATTAGAATACTTAATGGGAAACCAAATTCTAAGTAGGCTTTTTCTAGAAAAGTATTTTAAGTACTTGTGCATTATGTTAATTCTTTTATTATACTGGTAAAGGGTATATGTATTTGGAAAATGATGATTATGAGTTCTAGAACTTTTCATCTTACAGCTTTATCCATAGAGGCTTATCATCATCATCAATAACATTGGCAATGGGCCATCCAGGTGGAGTGGTGGTTAAGGTGACTGGATCCCACATCGCCAACTGTGTAGTTAGAGTCGTGGACCTAGTGGCTTGGAAAATATGTCAGACACATATGCTTATATACCTAAACTCCCAAAAGGAGAGTGCAGAAGAAGGGATTGCTGCATGGTCTTCTCCCCTGGAGAAGTGATTTCTCACTTTCCTCCTCTTTTCCTTCTGTCCTCTCTATGGCAAGTCCATATGCCCTGTAGCAAAAACTAAAAAACAAAGCAAACTTTGATAATATTTATTGAGCATTTATGATGTTTATGTTTATTATGCATTTATTGAGCATTATCATAGGCACTGCTTGTTCTCATTTAATTCTCCCTTATGCTAAGAGAATTTAGACTGTTCTTGAACAGTGTTTTCTGGGAGGAATCAATGACTTGCTTTTCTATATTTCCTCAGTTTTGCCTCTTCACTATCCAGATTACAAATCTATCCTAATGTCTTTGGAAACCATTTAACTCTCAAAGATCTGTCACACTTTACCAAATATTTCAGAACATTTGTTAGCATATACTTACAATTTTTGTTCATCCATTTTACTGTAATTCCCCTGGATTGTACCATTCCCCCCCCCTTTTTTTTTCTTTTTTCCTTTTTTAGTTTTTACTATAGGGCACATGGACTTACCAACAAGAGAGAGAGAAGATGGGAAATCACCCCCGAGGGGAGATGGCCACACAGAAATCCCTTCTCCATTTTCCTGTTGGGATTTGAGCATGCTTGTGTGTGATTTTTTTCAGGCCACCAAGTCCAGAACTTGAACCACACCATCAGCCATGTGGGATCCAGCTGCCTGTTGGCCCTATCCCATCTTTTAGCAAAGGATAGATTGATATGTGTCTGTATATACTTATTATATAAAAAAGTAATGAGAAGAAATAACCAGTTTAATTCACAAAAAGTAGTTACCTATTAGTCATACTAGCAGGCACTTCTAAAGGAAAATACTAAATGTATACCTTAATATTAATCATAGGAGAAGGAGCACAATAAAGAATCAGATTCAAATGTTGGAAAAGAAGTAGATGACAAGGATGCACCAAGGACTGAGGAAAACAAAGTACAGCAAAATGGAAATTGCCAGCCAAATGAAGAAAACCTTTCTACCAAAACAGAAGCAGTATAGGACTGACAAACACCTCAACACTCAACGCTGGAATAAAGTCCAAAGCTTTTAATTTTCTCAACAAGATGTAAACAGGGAAAAAACCTAGTTGAGCATAAGGATAGGAACTAACAGCTTTTCCAGTTGTTAGGTGACTTTCTGGCCATCTTGTTATAGAGTAAGAAAATGAAGCATGGACCTCATGAAAAGAACAGATGTTACCAAGCTCCTCATCTTCTGAAATCTGCGCATTTCCATGGTGGCTGGCACACTTGTCATGTGGTTTGTTAGTGTTTGCCAAGAACCATTGCAAATAGATTGAACATCAAAGATCCAAATTTGTACTATCCTTATAGACTGGAGATAAGGATTGGAGGGTCTTTAAGAAAATACTAGTTACTGAATTTTGTATTGTTTTACTTTTTTTTTTAAATTTCACTATATACAGTTTGATGATGTGCTTGAAATTGGTGCAAATATATACACACTCTTGTAAGTGCAAAGTATGTAAGAAGTTTTAACATTTACTTCACAGGATTTACAGTGATTGTGTTAAATTCCCACTATTGTGTTTTCTTTTGCTCACTAAATTTAGGACAGCATTTTTTCTTTAAAATAGTTTCACAGATTAAAATTACTTAAATAAGTGGATTAAAAAAACAACTGACAATGCATGCTACTATTCTTGTTCAAAAGGAAGAGCAGCTGTGTTGAATACTAATAGTATATTAGTATTCAGTGTTTAGAATCATTGGGTCTACCTACAAAGTGAGCATTTCTTTTGAACTTTCTTGACATTTCCAAGCTCATATATTATGAATAATATTGCAGTGTGTCTTGTTAACTGTAGGTGGCAAAGGTGCCCTATAAATAAGAAACTGGGTTTTCAAAATGGGCTATGGGAGCACAAGCTGAAGCTTTAGTGCCTTCTACAATGTGGTATACTGTTTTCTAGAATTTTGTATGTGCTAGTCATTCTCAATCATATGGAATCTAGATGGATATTCCATTCATATCCATATAGAAGTGTGCAAGTGATATGTCAGAAGAGCTTCTTACTTAGTTCACCTAATATGAGAAGGACGTCTTTTTACCAAGAATGACTTCAGAGTTTAAAATAAAAATGCAGTTTCGGGACCATCAGTTTTATACTGTGATAATTGAAAATGAAACAGGTTATCATTTTCTTTAAATCAGAAGAAACCCTTTAGTCGTTTATATTGGATGGCCTTAATTATTACCTCCCAATCATCTTTTCTTAAATGATGTGTAGAAATTATATTTAAAGGAGGACTAGGAATATATGGGAGTTGTAAGATATGTTCCTGGAGTTTAAGAGAGAGGTCATCCGTCAGTCTTAGGCTTGCTTTTTGCAGAAAGTATGTAAGTAGTAAAATGACCACATTGCTAATGTTTCTCCCCAAAACTGTACCTCAGAGTTGCTGAATTCTTTTCATTGTTGTTCTGGTTCCAAACAAGTAATGCTTTTTAATTAGCATGTTACTAAAAAATCAAGTAAATTATTTTAATACGATCTAATACAATCAAATTACTCAGTTGCCTTACCTCATGGGAAGAATTTATAGATTTACAAAGCTGAGTGGCCCTTTAGTAAACTGGTTTCAACTTGAGTTTTCTTTTAATGTTAATACTATTTAAATTTTATTTGGTAGAGAATGGGAAGAGTTGCCCCTACTTCAAGTAATGAAGCCTGGTTTGATTATGAAGCTGCTTAATCACTCTTCATGTGTTCAGAATTACTGTTTTTTTTTTTTTCCTTCTTTTTGTCACTGTGTACATTAAAATTTTGGAAAATGCTTTACTATGTAAAGTATAGATGGTCATTTTAATCATTCAACCACATACAGTTGGCTGGTAAACAGCTTATTTTGATAAATGAATGCTTGGGTGCATATGGAAAGATTGTGAAAGTGTGTGTGTCTTGCATCAACATCTGTCTTATTTATGATATGTAAGTAGAATAGAGCAAATGTTGTTTGAATCTTTGTTATTTTTAGTACCATTTCTCTAATAAAGCTAAATATTTTAGAGGAAAGTATTTGTTTATGCCTTTCAAAAAAGCATCTTATAGTTTTATCCTGCTCTTGTTTTAGTTGGCATAGAGACTGTTTTGACATGGAGAATGTGTGTTTGTGTGTTGTCTTTAAAACAATCACTTAAAGTTTGAGTGTTTTCTTGTACTCTGGACTCTTATTAAAAGTTTTTTTTTAATGTTGGTAATATTTCTCTTGGTTATATATTCAGTTTTAAAATAATCATACTTATTTTGAGAGATACTTTATTTGTAAAAACTAGGAATGAGTAGAATACAAGAGATCCAGAGAAAGTAAAATTATATTATTTAGGATTTGATGTTTTATATGGGCTTATAGAAGCAATGCTTTCTAGGGTCTGGTGAGTGTGTGTGTGTGTGTGTGTGTATGTATGTGGGAAAGAGAGAAAACATTTTTCTTTACTTACAAGAGCAGTTATCTTCTAATTATTTTTAAGATTCTTTTTTTTTTCTTTTTTTTTTTTAATCTCAGGTAGATATTGTCAGGAAAACTTGAGGTAAGGCCAAGAAGACAGTCATTTTATACTTGATAGGTTCTGTGATTATCTTTTTTAGCTTGATTGTACAGAAAGTACTCTTCCTTCTATTCTAGGTAATATTCATCATTCTAGACAAATTCTGTTGATACTTTTGTTCTTGCTTTTCATAAGTGCACCCTGAACTAATAATATAAGATGGTCCTTCAGAAGCTAGCCAGTGAATTACATTTGTAGAAACTTATAAATCCTTAACTTCTGCAATGACTTCTTAATTATTATTTTCCATCTAAACCAATCAGCTTTTAATTATAAGAACTAGTTAGCTTGTGATCTTTCCCATGTTTATAGAATTATTTCTTTGAAGACATTCTATATCTGCTATGTTGAGCTACAGAAGTGTAAGAGGCTTAAATTTTGACATACTCAATTAAAATTTTTTAAAATGGCATTTATAAACAAAAGGGTTTTTTGTCAAGAAAATAATTTCTCTTGTCATACCCTTTTGTGATGATCATTTTCAGGATCATCATTCATTCCTACAAATTTATTAATGTCTTTATTTTAAAACATTTTTTAAAAAAGGAAAAACCCTGACCTAAACCTGCTCTTACCTGAAGACACTACTCAAGTTTAAGGGTTACAATGTTGAATAATAGGCTTTACATTTTAAAAAAATTAGAAATTTAGCATGATTGGACTTACTCATCTTCCTCAGATGTTGGATTAGCAGTCCTATTGAAGGAGTACAATTTCACATGTCAGTGAGTAATTTCTTATATTTTCATTAAAAGATACCTGATTTTAACCAGGCGGGTTATGAAGTAGAGCCATTCCCACCAAGTATAAGTGCAGTGGCCGTTTCTTATGTCTTTAAATATTTTTTATTTCACTATCTGTAGTATTTTCTCATGTTCATTTACTGATGTACCATTACTTAAATTGTTTATTTTTAAATTTCTAAACGTAGTCCTCTTAAAAGGGCTCAATTATATTTCTGCAAGGTAGGAGTCTAGTATAAATGTAATAAAATGATACTTTAAAACGAATTTCCCTGTTTCAATCTGGGGTTTATGATGAGTTGTTTTTGTTGTTTTTTAAATAAACTTTCATTGGTGGTTTTGCCTAAAGACTGATACATTATTTTGAAAATAAAACCTAAAGCCATTTATCATTTTTGGCCCATATTTCATCAGGTTGTATTTACTAACTAATAATTAGAATCTCTTTCCATTCCATTCTGAGGTACTTCTAATAGCTTCTAGCAGTCAACTAATTATTCCTTATTCCTTTATATCTAACATTTATTAATGTTTTAAAAGTAGGTTTTAAGTCTGTTTCCTGATTTTTAAATTTAACTAATGTTTTAATTTTGAAAACTGCCAACTTTTAGGAGACTTCATACATTTTACCTCTAAATTTTATTATTTAAGATTGGAATGAAGTGGTAGTTCTTTCTATTCTTGATCAGCTTTTAATTGCTAGAGAAAGAGAATTTCTTAACTATATATGTAAGTTCAAATTTATGAAAATCATATAGAAAGAATTAAAATAGAAAAGATTCATTTCTATCAGTTTAAGGGTACTGAGAGGTGGCACACTGTTGGGGAATAACCTAAAGAGTTTTTGATTTCCACAATTAAATTTGTACCATGTAGCTGTGTAGATCAGTTTAATAGTTAAATAAGTATTCTCCTTAATCTTGATTAGTTTAATAGAACAGTGCTATGGATTATCAAGGGAACAGTTCAAAATGTAAATAAAGATGCTGCATAGGTGGTGTATATTTATGTGAGTAGGACTACTTTTAATGGTACTAGTAAAGATTTATCAAATGATGCTGCTATTATGTTGCTATATTTTTAATAAAATGAACATCTTAAAATCTTGTCACTGTCGAGTAATAATTTCACCTATTTCTTGGATATTTATTTGCATATTTACAGCTTTTTTTTTTTAAATAACTTTTAATGTAATCAGTTCTTCTAGGATTTAAAATTATTACCAAAATAGAAGTTTTGTGTATTGGGGCATCTTCACAAAGTGTAGTATTAACTCTAGTAAAATCTCTTCATATCAAACATTTTGTAGTGGTCTAGTTAAAGTGACAGCTGCTCTCTGAATCTCCCTTTGTTCATAGATTTTCCTTTCTTAGTAGAATATTTGTATGAGAATAGTCACCTTGTCTTTTGACAAGCAGCAAGTGGAATGTGTTCTCTTCTCACATTTATCAGAAGTGTAGCTCTCGGGACCAGCAGTTAGTGTAAAGGCTTTGTCGCTGGACTCCCATGTAGTTGACCACGGTTCGGGTCCCAGACCTGGTGGCTTAAACTCAGGCTGGGTGTGTGTGTTTGTGCGTGCGTGCCCATAATCCTGAGAGGAGAATGGAGGAGAAGGGATTGCGGCGTGGCCATCCCCCCTGCGGGGTGATTTCTTGCTTTCTGTGTCTGTCTGTCTCTTTCTGGTGAGTGCACATGCCCTATGGCAAAAAAACCTCTCCAGAAAAAAGAAGTGTAGCTCTCCATTTAGTGAATGAGCTATGTGCTCAGGGTGATCATCTGAGTGAGACAGGCTATTAGTCAAAAGTGCATCTTTAAAAAAATTAATTATCTGTCAGATGTATAAATTTAGAGTCCTGTATGATCTGATGCTTAATTTGCCTAGAGATGATGAAGCCATAAGTACTAATTTCTCTTTGTAGGACAGCTACCTTAACCACTTTCCATGGTTAAAGGATGTGAGCCATTTCCGTTTCCACATGTTAAGTTGGATGTGTGGAGGCTGAAGAGGAGAAGCCTTGTATTCTTGCCTGTAGTGGATTTGGGGTTCTTCCTGTGTGACCTCTGAGGGATTCTTAGAGAAGTGCTAGGATAAAGTAGTAGCTGCTTTTGATATTGGGCTGTCACACAAAATCTCTCATGTTAAATTATCTTTGAAAGGTTATTCAGGCATAATTCAGGAGTGTGATTACAGTACATTCCTTTTTTTTTTTTAACATTTATTTATATTGACTAACTAATTGATTGTGATTTTCAAGTCCTGGGTCGAGGATTTAAACAGTGGTGTACCATGTGGGAATCCAGCACCTTTACCACCATGCCACCAGCTGGTCCCGCATTAATTTTTATAATTATCTTTTGTTTTGTTTTTATATTGGGAAGAACATCTTAAAATTCAATAAGCAGAATAGTCTCTTGTAATACTCTAATATAGTAATAGCCATAGTATATTCATCAGAGGTGGTAAATGGAATGAGTAATGTATTTCCCTCCTTGAACTTCTGTCTTACCTTTACAACTATCTGATAAAAAAGACTCTGAACACTACCTACTCTAATGCTACATACCTTACTAGCACTGTAAACTCATCCAATTTTAAACAAAGCGTTCAATTTCCATTTCCAAGCATGTACCATTGTTTTTCACCAGACTACCATCTTTCTAGTCCCACATTACTGCTATTAATTTCTACCTTGTGCCCTTGTGGGACCAGCAGATGATGTAATGGTTATGTCATTGAACTCCTGCGTAGTCAGCCACAGTTCAAGTCCTAGACCGACTGGCTTAAAACTCACACCCTGTGTGTGTCTGTGCCCAAACTCCCAAGAGGAGAATGGAGAAGGGATTGCAGTGTGGCCATCTCCGTAGGGGATGATTTCTTGCTTTCTGTCTCTGTTTCAGGCAAGTGTATGCGCCTTACAGCAAAAATCTGTCCCCCCAAAATAAAGAAATGTGCCCTTGTATCAGTCGTGATTTGAGTTACATGAGACAGAATCACTCCAGCAGAAAGGTAATTAGAGTATTAGAATTAGTTCTTTTTTTGTCTTCTAACCACAGGCCTTTAAATTTATTTCATTGTGTTTTATTTTGAAATTCATGGGACCAGCAAGTGTCGTGGTGGTTAACGGGCTGGACACTCCCACATGCCTGACCATGGTTTAAGTCCTGGACCTAGCGGCTTGCTTTCTCACTTTCCTCTCTCTCTCTGTATCTCTGGTCAAATTAAAATGAATGAATGAATAAAATTGAATGAAATGATTCTTTAAAAAAATTCATTTTATTTTATTGTACTTACTACCAGATTAAACTGGTTTAAATTGGTTTGTAGTTTTTTTTTTTTTTTTTTTTTTTTTTGAGAGATTTTTGCTATAGGGCGTGTGTGCTCACTGGAGAGACAGAGATGGAAAAAGAGGAAGTGAAATCACCTCCCAAGGGGGATGGCCAATGTCACAATACCTTCTCCATTCTCCTCTCAGGATTTTTTGACACATAAACATATGCCTGGTGTGAGTTTCAAGACACTGGGTCTGGGACTCGAACCATGGTTCAAGTGGGAGTCCTGTGCCTTAACCAGTATGCCACCTGTTGGCCCCTGCTCTGTAGCATTCTTACTGTGTTTTTCTGTTTTTGATATTCTACATCCTGCAATACTAAGAGTTGGTAAGTTTTCTTTAGTGTTTTGAAGGAATTTGTGTCAAATCTAGAGTAGTCCAACAAAGCAACCTGAGCCTGGAAGATCTATTCAACACTATAAATTTAATAATAAAAAATTGGGGGCTGGGACCAGCAGGTGGCTTGGTGGTTAAGGCACTGGAATCCCCATGTGGCTAACTGCAGTTCAAGTCCTGGACTTGGTGACTTGCTTTCTCACTTTCCTCTCTTTCTGTGGTAAGTACACATGCCCTATAGCAAACTTAAAAATAACAATAAAAAAGATTTGGGACTATACCTTTTTTTTTTTTTTTTTTTGGCTATAGGGCACATGTGCTCATGGGGGAGAAAGAGAAGAAAAGAAATACCCCCAGTGAGGGTGGCCATGCCACAAGCCCTTCTTCAGTCTCTTGGGATTTGGGGCATGCATGCACACATGTTCAGCATATTTTTCAAGCCACTGGGTTGAGGATGCAAACCACTTGGTGTGTGGGATTTAGCCTTTTTAACCTCCATCCCACCTGCTGACTTTATTTTTTTAATTCCTCCAGGACACATGCAGAGAGAAAGCATCCCACAATGGGTTGTTGTACCACGGTTTTTCCTCCATTTCTGTATTATCAGATTGCAGTCCAGAAGATTTTAACCACCTAATGCCATCAATTGTAGGTAGAAGTGTTTATTTCCTCATTCCATTCCCAACATTGCTGACTGTCTTTGTGGGGTGGGGGGTGAGTTTTTATTGCTATCTGGCCCATTTGCTTGCAAGAGAGAGACAAAGTGAGAAATCACCATCCTGGGAGGATGGCCACACTATAAAACCTTCTCCATTCTCCTATCGGGATTTTGAGCGGGCATGCATGTACCCATGCCCTGTGTGAATTTCAAGCTGCTGGGACTTGAACTGTGATCGGCCATGTGGGAGTCTGGTAGTGCCTTAACCACTATGCAGCCTCCAAATTCTTTTATTATTATTGTTAAGATGTATACTTGTTTAGGGGCTGGCACTGGACTCCCACATATAGACAACCACGGTTCGAGTCCTGGAACTGGCGACTTGCTTTCTCTTTTTTTCTGTTTCTCTCAGGTCAAGTTTAAAAATAATAATAATGGATAAAATTAAATAATTCTTAAAAATTATGGGGCCAGCAGGTGGCATGGTAGGTAAAGTGCTGGACTCCCACTTGGCCAACTGCGGTTCAAGTCCCAGACCCAGCATCTGGAAATGCATACCAGGAGTGTGTGTGTGTGTATGTGTGTGTGCCCACAGTTCTTAGAGGAGAATGGAGAAGAAGGAATTTTCATGTGGCCATCCCTCTAAGGGGTGATTTCTCACTTTCTCTTTGTCAATCTGGCAAGTGTATATGCCCTATAGCAAAAATCTAAAAAATAAATAAATGAAAGAATTATTTAATTTAATTTATTATTATTATTTATTTTAATTGCTGTAGGGCACATGTGCTCACCAGAGAGATGGACAGAGAGAGAGAAAGTGAGAAAGCAAATCAAGTCTGGACCTCAAAATCTGGTCAACCATGTGGGAGTCCAGTGCCTTAACCATCACGTCACTTACTAATATTTTCTATAGTTTCTAATGTCATTTGATATATCTTAAACTTTTATTTAAGTTTTAAGTAGTTTTAGGATTTACTATGTATCTATGTGTGTATTTTTAAAATTACAACAGTCAGGACCAGCAGACAGCATAGTGGTTATGTCACTGGACTTCCACATAGCCGACCATGGTTTGAGTCCCAGACCTGGCTAGGCATGTGTGTATGTGTACCCAAAATTCTGAG